AAACATTTCTATGTGTGAAACACAACTCTGATTAATGCCACTGAGTTTTACACTTAAAAATGGTTAAAAGGTGGGGTGCCTGGGTGGGTCAGTCCGTTAAGCGTCTACCTTTACCTCAGGTCATGATCTCGGGGTCCTGGGATCAACCCCGGCATGGGGCTCCCTGTTCAATGGGGAGTCTGCTTCTCCCTCTCTGCTCCTCCCCCTGCTCGTGAGTGTGCTCTCTCTCAATTTTTTTAAGAAAATGGCTAAAAGGGCAAGTTTTGTTACATGTTTTACTACAATTTTTTTTTAAATAATGTAATATACCCCAAAATCACTGAATTACTTCAAATGGGTAGATTGTATGATATGTGAATTATATCTCAGTTAAGCTGTTAAAAAAGAAAACCACCCACCCGGCTTGCCATCTGCTTTGGAGCACCCTGGAACCCAGCCTCTTCCTCTCTCCCTCTCTGAGCCCATCAGCCCCACCCCCCACCTGGAATCCCTCCGCTCTGGCCCCAGGGGCCTGCCTTCTCCTCCTGGAAGATGCCGGGTCCCCACCTCAGGCCTCTTATATTCGTTCTTCCAGCCGGGACATTCTTCCAACCAGGTTAATGGCTCTCGGGTCTGGCTGCCCAGTAGCATCACCTGAGAAACTTTGAAAGGACAGAAGCCCAAACCCGAGCCCGGAGAGTGGGATGTCATTATTTGGGAGAAGCAGGTAGGGTCTCAGCATTTGCCTGTTTGTTATCACCAAAAAAAAAAAAAAAAAAAAAAAAAAAAGCCCTTCCCAGGTGCTTCTAATGTTCCGCTGAGAATAACCAATGGCCCGGTCATCACAGCTCGGTACACCTTCCTTCTGGTTTATGCTCAGGGACCAGCTCCTTTGAGAGGCCGTCCCCAAACACACCATCAACCTCCCCTCCACGCCCCGTTTATTTACCTTCAACATTATCTGTCCCACCTAGGATCATGTTATCTGCATAGTTGACTGCTTCCCGTGGGGAATGTCAGATGAGGACAGAGGCTGCACCTGTTTTGCAAGTACTGTATCCTCAGTGCTTAGTCCAGACAGAGTGATCGTAAGCAGCTGTCACCTGAATGATCGGCTTTGGCCCACCTCTCTGTCCCCCGTGGTCCAGCGGCGGCTCTGGGGCTGCAGTTCTAGGCGAGGGCCACCAGGTGGCGAGAGTGCCCGATCGCATTTCGGTCCTCCGCAGCCTCAGCCAGTCCTGCCCCACGCTGGGCCATCCTTAAAACGTAACGAGGACCATGGCAAACCCCTCTGGGTCCTCCCTCTTCTCGTTGGTCGATCCAGACTCTTCAGGCATCTGAAAATACTCGACCGGGACTAGCGCCAGCGAGGAAGTCTCCGCACCCTGTCTGGAAGCTTGGAGTTGTCCCTCTCTTGTCTGGTTTCTCACAGACCCTCTGGTGCAGCCTTGGAGGACTCCCACGGGACCCCCAGCCCTATGGCCAGTGTTTTCGGGGGACTATCTGAGGACGCACTCCCGGGGGCTGTGACATGCACTGTCTTCTTGCAACCCAGGGTGACGGACCCACAGGGCAATGAAGAGGTGTTGGGAGATATGCCCCAGACCTCAGGTAAGTAAAAAAGGCAACAAGACAGGAAGGTTTGTGTCAAATGCTGCCGCTTATGTTCCAAAAAGAGAAAAAACTGCCTCCCCACAGGGGTCTGTAAATGCACAGACTGAAGAGTGCCTAGGAAAGGCACCGGGGAGAGAAGGCTGGGAGCACACCCATGTCTTTCCAAATGGGAGGCACGGACCTAGTCAAATATATAGTAAAATTCAACATTTTTTAAAAACCAACACTTTCTCTACCACTTCTGCCTCGGGTGCTTCCTTCCGTAGGAGGCTGCAGCTGAGACCCCCGGGTACAGGGTCGGGGTGCTGGGGAACCTCACAGTGAGGAAGGCTCAGAGGTTGTCCCTGCTTAAACGCAGCGCCACCCAGAAACCGTGCATCCTTCCAAGCCCTGGCAACACAGCTCACCTGTGAGTGGGACACACAAGAGTAAGTCATAAATATGTATTAACTTTGCTCAAGGATATGAAAACTAGTAAGAGGCTGGGACAGAGAACAATTTGGGGAGGGGGGGGCTGCTTCAGAGGTGACACCTGAAAGACAATCCAAGATGCCAGCCACAGAAGGGTGTGCCAGGCCAAGGGCACAGCAAGTGCAAGGGCCCTGGGGCCGGATAGGGGCTGGTTTGCTGGAGCTGAAGAAATGGGATACTGCGGTCCTGCTTACCACCTCAGCCTCGTTCTCTAAGGTGGGGCTGTGTCCACTGCCCCTCTGTGGTCTTCAAATGAGACAGCAAGGGGCACATACATGCCCAATGAAAGGAAGCTGAGGGGTGCCTGGGTGGCTCAGTGGGTTAAGCCTCTGCCTTCAGCTCAGGTCATGATCTCGGGGTCCTAGGATCCAGCCCTGCATTGGGCTCTCTGCTCACCAGGGAGCCTGCTTCCCCCTCTCTTTCTGCCTGCCTACTTACTTGTGCTCTCTGTGTCAAATAAATAAAATCTTTAAAAAAAGAAAGAAAAAAAGGAAGGAAGCTCAAAAAATTTCTAACCCAAAAAAAGATGATGGCCTATTTGCTGGAAAAAGCATTCAGTAGCAGTCCAATTAGAATTTCACTAGCTCCATGGCCTTGAGCTAGTTACTTCTTTGGGCCTGGTTTTTTGTTTTTTTTTTTAATTTATTTGACAGAGATCACAAGTAGGCAGACAGGCAGGCAGAGAGAGAGAGGGAAAGCAGGCTCCCCGCTGAACAGAGAACCCGACGCGGGGCTCGATCCCAGGACCCTGAGATCATGACCTGAGCCGAAGGCAGAGGCTCCAACCCACTGAGCCACCCAGGCGCCCCTGGGCCTGTTTCTACAAGAGCCCCTGGCAGCTCCCATCACGGTGGCCCACACCCTCCACATGAATATCAGGTACCACTGACCCTACATGCGGTGCCCTCCCCACCTCCACTCCTCTCAGCCATACCAGCCACCCTGCAGGCCATCAAGCATGTCACGCTCGCAGTGAACACCCCAGGGCCTTTGTACCTGCTGATTCCAGTGTAGGATGCTCACCCACTCCAGGTCCCCACAGCCAGCTCTTGATTTAGGTCTCAGGTCAAACCCCCAGTATGGGTTCCAGTGAGAGAAGTCACCTTTACCCCTTGGTGTTAAAATATGCCCATTTTTGGTTCAATCCTGGATTTTAGCACCATTAATAAATAAAAATTAATTAATTAACTAATTAATTAATTAAAAAATAAAGTATCCCCATTTTGTTCCTTTCCCAGCAGTGGTCAGCAAATGGCCTATGGCCCAAATCCAGCCCATCCTCTGCTTTTTGTAAGGCTCATGAGCTGAGCATATAGTATTTACATTTTCAAGTGACTGATAAAAAAATCAAAATGTTTTGTGACCCCACAGGAGCCAAATGACCCGGGTGAACCCAAGCCGTATTAAGGTCGCATGCGAGCCCCGCCATTCCCGAAAGCTCAGGCCCCAACCCTTGCCACATGAAGACTGTCCCCCTCCCCCTCTCACTGTCTTGCAAAGACCAACCAGGATTTCCCTTCTGGTTGGTGTGTCCCTGTCAATGGATTCCAAGGAACAGGACCTCCTAGGAAAGGTGCCCACTGGCGCCCCCCATTATGTGCTCACCACCTGTGGAGATGCCCTTGACTTCCTGTGCTGGGTCATGCAGACCTGACACGGCCATCCCGACCCGATGGAAAACTGCAGATTTGAGGACGACCGAGCCATTTTTCCAAAAACAGTTTAATTAAAAAAAGGTGAAGAATCTGAAAAAGGGGGGGGGAGGGGCAGAACCCAAAAGAGCATAACGGTGCGAGTCCACTGGCTCAGTCACAAAGAAACACCATCATCAAAAAAAGATATTTAAGTTTAATACAAATTTTATACAAAGAAAATGTGAAAAAATACTTCCATATGCTAAAAGCAATTATGCTTCACAAATAAGGCCAGCTAGGCTATTTTTTTTTTTTTTTGGACAACTGCAATTCACAAATGTTCTTTCTCTCTTTTTTCTTCTAATACTCTGTGTAGTTCTTCTCTAATATGGGGAACTAGCTGGAAACTGTACACAGTTTGCATCCTCTTATCAACAATGAAGAGAAAGTAAACAGGACTAAAATGTACAACAGAATGTACTGGAATGATATCGTACAATTAATTTTCTCATATACATACATCACCTTTTGCTTTGTTCAATGCTTTTTGTTTTACACAACATACAAAATGGTACTACAGTACGTGTAGTGTGACAGACAGCACGGCCGAGGTCTTGCTTTCTCTCACACTGCCTTTGTTTCATGCTTACATAAAAACGTAAAATTCCATCGTATAAATAATACATACATGCCTTTCATCCCAGACTCCAATGTCCTCTGCGTGCATCTGGCCTCTGAGTGATGGCTTCCAAGCAGCACAGCATCACTTACCAAGTATGTGTGAGTGTGTTTAAAAAGGAACCACAAAGCAAAGATTTCTCTTTGTTTCGGAGCTTAAGACCCTTACGCTTTCTCCGTCCTCTCCTGTGGTGGAGCGGAATGGGGCTTGCTTCCGTCTTCTGGAAACAAGGACCTTTTTTCTTCCCTTTTAGGAGTAGTCATCATTGAAACCACACAAAATAAACTAGCTTCTCCAGGTGTCCTTCCGGTCCTGAGAGCTGGCGTCGCATAACACAGGAACATAGTATCAGAAAAGGGCCGATGGCTTGATGGGATGTGCCCACAACAGCACAGGACCTGTGCCCAACCCCTGGTCCCGATGCGCTGTGTACAGACACCTGAACGCCAATGGCTCGTGTCCCCCCGCGGCACCCACGGATGAGGGCCTGTGTGCCACACGATCCCAGAACCCAGGTTCCATGCCGCGGTGACAGAGGGGCTGAATGACCATCCCTCCTCCAACGTCCAAACATTCTTTTCGTTGTTGGGTTTATTTTTTTTTTTAATTGTTGTTCTTTTTCCTTTTTTTTTTTTTATAAGTTAAAGTCAGTACAAATATAAAAAGGGGAAGGTACTCTAGGTTCAAGGACATCCACAAATTGTACATTATTTACACCTAAAGCATAGGTTTCGTGTGGGTCCAACAGTCCTTAGTCGATGCTAATGCCGGACGCTATGTAGTGTAGGCCGCCCTCCGTGCCAAGGGCGAAGGCCAAGTCTGCGTGTCTGGCGCTCTCCAGTCTGAAGGTGGCTGCTCTCCTGTTTCACGTTTCTTTGTTGCTTCCTATTGCCCTGGTGTCTGGTTTTTTTTTCCTCCATGGCGTGGGTGGCTTGTGTCGTGACTTGTCCCTAGTCCCAGAAGGTGTCCAGCCGAGACTCTTTCGGGAGGAGACTCTTCGAACTGGAGCTGGCGTTGTGCTCGGAGCGTGTGGGTCCTCGCTTCTCGTCGCTGCTGCTCCAGCAACTAGACTTGCTGCTCCGGGAATGGTCTGCGGAAGAAAAGCAACAGAAGGGGACGTTGAGCATTCCCGCCAGCGGCACCGAGGCACACCCGCCCCGGCTCCGAGCCTCCTCTGCGGGCCGCCGCTCTGCCCGCCCGCCCAGGCACCGCAGCCAGTGCCTCCGACCGCTCCCCAACATTGGGGGAGTGGGGGGTAGGGGGGTCTCCAGAGGACAAAGGTAGAACGATTTAGCATTTTAGGATTCAACAGCGGATCAGAGAAACAGCAGGCTGTCACGTTGTGGACAATCAAGACTGGGGAGGAAGGTACGCAAGTGCCAAGGCAGGCAGGTCTCATGCCGCACCCGGAACCGTGAATCTGTATTACATGGGGGACCGACACCAAGCACCCCCTGGGCACTACTGCGTCCCAGCTCGGCTGCTGCAAAGTGGCACCGAAATGTGGCATTTGATTTACTTCCTCCTCTTAGTGGAGTTTCTTTAGTCAATTTATAGACAACTTGAAAAAAAAAAAAGAAACCCACAACCAAACCACCTGAGGGAGAGGATCACAAAGGAGAAGGCGCGAGGGCCAGAATGGCTAAGTCCGTCCGGAAACACAAACCCATGGACTCCCAGCAAGGACAGGCTGAGGGGTCACCAAAGGACACAGAACTAGAGATAAGACCTAGGACAGCTTCCAGGACGTGGGTACCCCAAGAGCTCAACAGTGGTAGAGGAATCTAAAAGAGGTTAAAGCAAGAGCCAAATGAGGCCCCTGGAAGCTGTCGCGCAGCAAAGCTCAGCTTGGCCAGCGTGGCCGACGGCGACAGAGCCATCTGCACATCGCCAAGACCCCGTCGCGCCCCAGATCGTCTGCCAAGTTCAGAGAGGCTGGGACGGAACTTTGATTTTAAACTTCCTGAGGTGGGATGACCTTTAATTGAAAGAAGCCAACGGTCAAGCTCAGACAGAATGACAATGAGTGAGGAAAGGACCAGATCAGAGCGGGGGATGACACTTCTCACGGCCTGGTAAAAAGGAATGCGTGTGTTTGGTCATGCATTCCGGTTTTGGAAGCTCAGTAATGAAGAGAACAACAAAAATCTCCAAAAATAATGTGTTCAGTCAGGAGGGACATCTTTTTAACCACCTGCATCAGTCTCACCAGAAGATGGGGGATTCGGGGAGACAGCACTGGGGTCAAAGGCAAGTCTTCCCAAGACTCCCGAATCCACCTCCTCTTAGCATTCGTCCCTGTACGTGACACCCACCCGGCATGGTTCCACAGGAAGGTCTACAGGGAGCGGTGCAGCCGGTCATCGGCCAATGTGAGAAAACCCTACGACAACGCGGTCAAGGTTTAGACCCGTGCACCAAGGAGCCAGGCCAGCCAGGCCCGTGTCTCTACAGAACCCCGCTCCTCATACTAAGGGGACACACGGCAATGGCGGGAACGGCTGATCACTGCAGGGGAGAATCAGCGTTAACCCAGGGCCCTTTCTGAAAAAGAGCAAGGACGACCCCTTCTAGAAGCCAAACCATACATTCTGGCTCTCATTTCCTACTGCGGTTTTCTGTGGCCACGTGAGGCACAGCTAAGAAGTGCAAGAAGGCAAAAGAACAAGCGCCATCTATCTGAAAACAGAAGACACATCCACGAAGAGAAATGCTCACGCATATACACACACACACACACACACACACACACACACACACACAGGCACCACGAGGCTTCTGCAGGCCCAGAACAATTCCTGGCAGCTCTGGGGACTTGGTCCTACTTCCCCTTGTGGGCCGGGTAGCTGGGGTGCGGGCTGCCCGGCTGTGGCACTCAGGGCTTTGGCAGGCTGCTTGCCACACCGTTAGGGACCGAAGAGCTGGTCCAGGTAGCCTCGGAGACCGTCAGGGAGCTCGGGAGCCCCGAATCCTACCACCGGCTACTTGTGTTCATCAAGATGCTGCTCGCTGTTCTCAGAACCGTAAGCTCTCTTATCAGCTCGCCCTTCTCCAACCAGAGCCACGCACAGGAGACTGGCCCCTTTCACTGTGCACGCTGAGCTGCACGCAGGGTCCCTGGCCACCAGCGGTGTGACAGGCGGATAAGTTGCACAAGGACAGAAAAGCAACTCTGTGAGCCACAAATTCGGAAGCATGTCAAAGCACAATTCTCAGAACCACCAGCTCTGCACACAGCCTAATTCCACCAGGGAAACAGGGGCCGGAACCATACTGAGGCGGAGAGCATCCCCCGAGGGAGAGGGTAACTGAAAGGGAATCACAACTCCTCTCCACGGACAGAGGGTGGGGAGGGTGAGGAAGGTGCCCTGGCCAGGACTGAGGAAGGGGCTACAGCTGAGGTATCGAGGGGCCAAATCCACGATGACGGGACCCTAAAAAATTACATGTGAAACCGAAGAGCCAAAAATCAGTGATACGAAAGGGCTTTCCGAGGCCATGAGGGTCATGGGGTCCAGCGAAGAGCTTGGTGTGGAAGAACTAAAGGTCGGACAAAAGGACAAAACAAACTCCAGGAGAAGGTACAACTTGCACCCGAACGGGCACGTAATCCTGGCAGCCCAAGCGCCTCCTCGGCCAGAAACGGCAAGCTCAGGACGGTGGGAACCCAGCCTCGAGGTCTCCAGCTCGGCCGCCAGCTGCCAGCGAGAAGACTCAGCCTCGGTCACAGACAGATGCACCTGTTCTCAACACTGAGGATGGGAGGTCCCAGCAGAGCAGAGGGCAACCACCGAGGGAGGGGACAAGAGACTCCATCTCTAGCTGACAGAACCCGAAATAAAGAATGCACATTGTATCTGACCCAGGGAACCCGTAGAGCATGTAAACAGTGACACAGGTCATCAGGGAGGAGGGGGAAAAGAGAGGTCATCGATGAGCCCAACTCTCATCTTCTAAAGCCAGAAGTCAAAAAGAAACGTGGAAAACTAACATCCAGAAACAAATGGACAAGGAAATATATTATTTGTACATAAGGAGGTAAGTACCAGGAGTATCAGTGAGGACTGGGCCTAGGAACGGTCCTCCTCTGTACAATTTTATTTTCTCTAACTATATGCATGTTTTGCTTTAAAATCTCAAAATTAAAATTTGACAAGCAAGCAGCAAGGAAGAGCATTCTCCCTCCAACTGCCTCCTCCTCACCCACCCAGCACCAGGAGCCACTCGGAGCTCAGGAGCCCCCAGTGGGTTTCAGAGCCCACTCCTTCCCCTCTGCGAGACTCCACCGCACGGCCACCGCCCCTGATGGCAAAAGCCAGCACAAGTTAAATGCAACGTACAAGGAGTTCGTAGGGGAAGCAAACAAGCCTTCCCTTCCGCTTTTGCACGATCTCCAGCATAAACCATTTTATGAGAAATAGAGGAAAATGGTAAGACGCCAAGTCTGTTGTCCTGACCAGGCGTCTGGGCACCTCCCACTCGTGTCCCTCCCGCTTATGCTACTGGATGTCACACTAACACTGCCTGAAAATAATACTCTGCTTCCTCCAGTCTCTAACAGTGAGCTCTGGGGTGCTACCCCCCCCCTTGCTAATATGCCTCCCGTGCAACCTCGTCCCACGTCCTAAACGTGCACGTCTCCCGAGTGCGGCCCCAGATGCACCTCTTTCTTTACCCAAGACCTGCCAAGAAGATCCCTTCGGCTGCGGGGATCCTGGGACTCTGACCAATCTCATCTTTGTGAGACAAAGTCTCAAAACACCATTTAGAATTTAAGACGTCCACAGTGATTCATGGCTCAGAGGTCAATGGTGACTGCACCGGGACAGCAACCACATGGCGTGAGCCCAGCAATACATGAGAAAGGCGAAACAAGTCTTAGACATCGACCTGGGCTGGGGACGGAGACAGGGTGTAGACAGGTTGTGGTAGCCACTAGCCACATGATGCTCTTTAAACAAAGTAAAAGAAAATGTTAACTTCTATTCCTCAGTCTCCTCGGCCACAGTTCAAAGGTCCAGCAGCAGATGTGCAAGCGGCTCCCAGGGGACAGCACAGATGGAGAAGGAGGCCATCACCGCGGAATGTTCTAGGGGGCAGCACTGCTCTAGGGGAAGACCCAGGGTGTCAAGGAAGGGACCTAGAAGTACAGGTTATTTAAATGCCATGGGAGAAGGCGGTGCCTGGGTGGTTCAGTCCGTGAGGCGCCCAACTCGGTTTCACTCAGGTCATGATCTTAGCCGACACGGAGTCGGCCTGGGGACTCTCTCTCTCCCTCTGCCTCCGCCCCTCCCCATAGTCGTGTACACGTTTTCTCTCAAATAAATAAATCTTTAAAACTAAATAGACAGGGGGCACCTGGGTGGCTCAGTCTTTCAGCGTCTGCCTTCGGCTCGGGTCATGAGCTCAGGGTCCTGGGATGGAGCCCCTCGTCAGGCTCCCTGCTCAGCGGGAAGCCTGCTTCTCCCTCTCCCACTCCCCCTGCTTGTGTTCCCTCTCTCGCTGTCAAATAATAAAAATCTTCTTTAAAAAAATAAAAACAGACAGAGAGCTAACAGCCACAGAAAGGAAGCAACTGAAAGTAATACATCTGGCTATGAGAGGACAGGGAGGGAAAGGCCAGCGCAGCTGCGGGAAGGTTCACAGGCTGGGGGGCTAGACGGTGAGGCAGCACCGGGCTGCGCTCCTCTGAAGGGACAGGCAAGGCCACGTGCTGTCCGTGACAGTGGAGGGAGCGTGAGAACAGGGGCTGCTACCCAAGGAATCTGGTCAGATGAGCAGGCCGATGAAAATGTCTGCTTCTGAGGTCAGTGGTCAAGATGTGTGTGTGTGTGGGCGGGGTGCGTGCGCGTGCGTGTGCGTGTGAGTGTGCGTGATGGAACGAGCGTGTCCTCCTGCACAACCTTCTCTGGCTGAGCTCTGAAGCTTGGGTGCAGACGAGAAAAAGACAGACAGCCAGAGTCTGTCCAACATGGGGTTCTGTCAAGACAGACACTGAGAAAACCAGAAGGCATGGGAGGCTGGGTTACAGGGTACTGCTGGGAGGAGCCATGGAAACGAAGGAAGGAAAGAGGGAAGTAAAGAAAGGAAAGAGTGAGGAGGTCTGGAGTGGGGGCAGAGGGGAGAGCCACATCCACCGCCCTGACCGTCCCCACACACCAGCGCCTTAGCAGTTGGGTTATACGAAATTGCTCACATTCGACCCTTTTTGACCCACAGTTTCATACGGGCCAACCTAAGCATTCAGAGCACCGTGGTGGCCTCACTGAGGGGACTGGACTGAAGTCCTGGCCGTGATCGTCACCCATGGAGTTACTCGCGCATGTGACTTAACCTCCACAGCCTTGCCATCATCACCTGCTTAACGGAAATAGGAACGTCTCTGCCAGAAGCTGGGAATAAACGCGCTAAGGTTTAAGTCTGTCTGTGTCACGCTCTTCCGTAAGCATCAATTAAGCGCCCCTCTGAGTTCCCCTGCAGCTCTAGAAGACGGGAGCTGTCGGCTTTATTCCTCCTACATCCTACATTCTCAGGGAGAATTCCAGATCCTGCCCTCCCTGCCCCTCCCACCAGACTCCTCGGGGATAATTCTCTGCCTGTTCTCTGCCCCCACCCACCCAGTACCAAATCACCAGTACCTCCTGGGGCTTCTGGCCTCCTCTCCCCAACGCGAACCCTCCTTTCCTCCCACTCGAGACAGCCATGTGCTTCAGGTCAGGGGTCCGCCAACAATGCCCCCGGACCAAGTCCACCCCAACGCCTGAGTTTTCCAATTCAGATTTTCCTTGGCGCACAGCCACACTCATGGGTAACTCAAGCACCGCTCATCTCATCCATGTCCGCCTTCACAGATCTGACACAGACCACTGGGCCCTCAAAGCCTAAAATACGCACTCGCTGACCCTTTAGGGAAAGTTGGCCAACCCCTGGGCTGGGTAATACCTCGTGTCACCTCAGACGTCCCCCAACCACGTTCCTGCACGCAGTACTCCGCATTGCACTGGATTCCGGACAGCAGCCAATGTCCCCAGTGGCGCGCTGAGCCCACGTCCCGGCTCCAAAACCCCAGCAGCGCCCCCCTTCTGAAGCAACGCTCCCCGAGCCTGCCCTTTCGCACACCACCTCCACAATTCCCACACAGCCACAGTAACCCTAACATACTACCCAGTCCATGTTTTTCTTTTTAGCTCACTTTAAAAACGTCAACGAGTTTTAAATCACTACCTACATCACCAACAGCAAATCAACAATACGTGCCACAGACAGAAGGCAGCTCGACAAATAAACATAATGAAAACCACACTGTGGTACGCACGTCGAGGTAGACACCACGTCTGCTCTGTCTTTGTTAAAAGGAGAAACTAGCAAATATCAGAGAGGTACGAAAGGCATCGTAGCACGAAACTGAACTGTTCTCGGAATTCGGTCAGGGGACTGGAGGGAAGGGAGCAGGGAATGATCTCAACAGGCGGTTCAATGTTATTTAATCCCAAGTTCACCTTCTCCCTAAAATCGGCTCGTGCCACTCCCTCTCAACCCCTTCCCTCAATCTGAATCCCACTCCCCAGCCCTTCCGGGAAAGCTTCCCCAGCTACGGATGCTAACAATGGCCATCACCTCCTCCTCGGTGCACTGAGTACACAGAAGGGAAGTAACGTGTGCTTTTCTGCTAAAGAGAACCATCCAGCAAACAGAAAGTTCCTGGAGCTAAGGGACGCTGAATAAAGCAAATTGTCCTCAATGGGGGCACCTTCTTCTGCGAACACTCTGGAACCACCCAAAACTGGTTTAGGAAGGGACAGGAAAAGTGACCCTTCGGGCTAGAATGGAGGACAGCTCAAACCCCACAGAAGAGGAAAAATTTCTACAGGAAGATCAAACACCTAAAAATTTTCTTTTCTCTAAAGTCTCACCTTCCCTCGCCCACCCAACACAAGAGGTGAGACCTCAGGAATAGAGTTCCAGGTGATTTCGCTCACTGGGGTCATTTCCCTGAGGGCAGAAGAACTGCCCAACCCCACCCCAAGTCAGCAACAGAACCCTCATTTCAAATCAAGTTTTATGGGCAACCCCAAAAAATAAAGCAAACCCAGGGTTAACAACTGATCAGTTTGGAGAGGGGCCTGAAAGCTGCCTTGCCCGGTCATTCCCTCACCCCAACCCCAATGACCTGCCCAGGGAACCCCCAAAGATCCCTAAGGATCCACAGTGGTTGGAAAACCACTGCCATAAACCCTTAAGTTTTCCCTGAGAAAATGGCTTCCCCTCTGCCCGGGAGGAATGGTGAGAGCACGGTTCACCCACCAGGGGGCAACATACCAGAGCCTTGGTTGGAGCCTAAGAGAATGGAGGAGGGCGTCTCCCTGGAGCCAGAAAGGTCGAGGGTCTAAAAATACAAAAAGAGAGAGATGGACACAAGGCACGGGGGCCAATGTAGCCCCCCCAGGGAAGCCTAGGGATCCATGGGGGTGCTCATCACTGCCCCCAAGGCACCTGTGTGCCCTCTGCCTGGCGAGCTCAGGCAGGGGAGGCCAGGTCAGCTGGGGTGGCCCTACACCTGCACTCAGTCTCCCAGAATGAACAGGCTGGAACACAGTAACGGGGTGGCCCTTCCTCAACTCTACAGCCTTAGCTTCTAGAACATTCACTGACCTACCTACCCTCCAGAGTTTGGCCCACATCTAAAAAGGAGGTGTATTGCTTCAAAAGGATTATCAGCTCCCATTTATTTCATGTTAACCCCTTCCCAGGCAATATTATCAATGAAATCAAAGGGTTTGGGTGGATGGCATAAAGACTTATTCTTTTCCTAATACACATCGAAATAAACACATAATACTACAAATGTAAAAACGTTATCAAGGTGCCACCGCAAGTAACTTTTGCGTACAATCCATGTGACATCCAACACACGCTGGGAGCTAGGAGGTGCAACTTTCGCTCTCCAATATGGCAGCGACCGGCCTGATGTGACTATTTATATTTCAATTAATTAAAATTAAAACTGAAAGTGTGAGTCTTTACTCACACCAGCCAGGGTGCAAATGCTCAGCCACCCCAGGTGGCTAGCGGATCCCACACTGGGCAGAGCAGACACAGAACACTCCCATCACTGCAGAAGGTTCTACTGGACAACACTGTTGTGAACTGTGAGAGTCCCCGGAGAGCAGCTGCCAGGTCACACGAACGTCCACTCGGGCTCCACGTCCCTCGGCCCCGGCCCGCACGCCCACTGGAGAAAAGCAGCTGAGACTACCCCCTCCCCCCACAAGCAACAGCCTGCCTGCCTTGACCACCTTGCAGACAAGCCTCCTACTACGTGAGACTCGCAGAGGTGGCAGGCATGGGGACGGGTGCGCAGACCCCGCACGGCCCCAAGTGTTGGTGTCACTGGCCCAAGGCGAGTGGCTACTCACCGACCCGCTGTCCTTGCTTTTCTCCGCTGGCGCCTCCTTCTCTTTTGAGGTGCTGGCTGTTTCCGTGGGAGCGGCCTGAGTGCTAGAAGAGTTCCCCTGCGATGGCTTGTTTAGTGTCTCTGAGTTCACCTCGGCATCTGCTTCCTGCTGAGGGGCCGTAGCTACGGGGGGGTAAAGAAGAGAGAAGCCATGGGTGAGCCAAGCACCGCGACTTCCACAATGGCAGGAAGCCCCACTCTGCGTGAGGCCCAGAAGGACTCTGACCGACCACCAACCATCCGAACAGAGGCAGCTTCTGTGCAGCCCCACCCAGGGGCTCTTCAGAGTTTTCCAGAAGCTGAATTCCAGACTTAGTGTGAAAATACGCTCATTTTTAACAGCTCATTAATTCAAGTTTTATTAAGTCATTCTGGAGACGAAAGCATAGTGGCAGAGCAGATGAAGCCCGTCAACAGAGACAGCCTGTGACAGCTGACCCAGCTTTACTGGTTCCGCAATTTCTCATTTCACACCTATTCTAGCCCCTGGATTTGCTTCCCTCTAAAGCAAGGCAGGGAAGCCCACATGAAAAAAAAAAACAAAAAACAACTCGGTGTCTAAGGCAGAGAGTATCTGGCTGTTGAGGGCAGAAGCTGGGAGCATCTGAGAAAAGCTCAGAAAGACGGACATTATGATGCCACAAAGGAAGGAAAACTGAAGGACATTATGGGCATCTTGTCAAAGTAACAAAAGGGTCATCAGACACATACATTCCAGAGCTTAGGAGAATCTAACTCCACTGTACGAAGAGACTTAAAGTAGCCATTAAGAAGACATCTCCCGGGGCGCCTGGGTGGCTCAGTGGGTTAAAGCCTCTGCCTTCGGCTCAGGTCATGATCCCAGTGTCCTGGGATCGAGCCCCACATCGGGCGCTCTGCTCCGCGGGGAGCCTGCTTCCTCCTCTCTCTCTCTGCCTGCCTCTCTCTGCCTACTTGTCATCTCTGTCTGTCAAATGAATAAATAAAATCTTTAAAAAAAAAAAAAAAAAGACATCTCCCTGGAGGTGAAAGGACCTGGCAATGTATGGTTCAATATGGCCTTTGAAAATTAACAAAAGAGGACATCTGTCTAGAGTAGGAGCGGCCATACTAGCGCTACTTAAATTTGTCAGTAAAGTTTTATTGGAACACAACCACGCCCACCATTTAACACACTGTCTAGGTCTGCCGTCTCCCCAGATCAGCACAATAGAGCAGTTCCAACAAACCACCTGGCCCCAGAGCCAGAAATATTTACTCTGTGGGTCTTCACAGGAAACGACTGCCAACCCCTGGCCTTGGGAGTGCTTCTTGATTCTGGGCATTCACATGCCACCTTCAAAAAGTTTACCAGTCTAACAGACACACCACCTTAATAATTATGTCATTTTTAATTAAATGAATTCTTTAAAATGGAGGCTTTTGGAGCACCTGGGTGGCTCAGTCAGTTAAGCATCTGCCTTTGGCTCAGGTCATGATCCCAGGGTCCTGGGATTGAACCCCGAGTTGGGCTCTCTCATCAGCAGGGAGCCTGCTTCTACCTCTCTAGCTCTCTCTGCTTGTGTTCTGTCTCTCTCTTTCTCTGTCAAATAACTAAAACCTTAAATAGAAATAAAGAAATAAAGAAGGGTCCAACTCTTGATTTCAACTCAGGTCATGATCTCAGGGTCGTGAGATCGAGCCCCAAGTTGGGCTTTGCACTGAGCAGAGCCTGCTTAATATTTTAAGATTCTCTGCTTATAGCAGCAATGTTCACAAAAGCCAAACTGTGGGGAAAACCTAGATGTCCATCAACAGATGAATGGATAAAGAGGATGTAGTATGTATGTGTGTGTGTGTGTACACACACACACACACACACACACACACACACACACACACGATGGAATACTATGCAGCCATGAAAAGAAATGAAATCTTGCCATTTGCAACGATGTGGATGGAACCAGAGGGTATTATGCTGAGTGAAATAAGTCAATCAGAGAGATAATTATCATATGATCTCCCTGATATGAGGAATTTGAGAAGCATAGTGGGGGGTTGGGGCGTAGGGAAGGACAAAAATCAAACAAGATGGGACTGGGAGGGAGACAAACCATAAGAGACTCTTAATCTTACAAAACAGACTGAGGGCTGCTGGGGGTTAGCGTGGAGAGGGTGGTGGGGTTATGGACATTGAGGAGGGTATGTGCTATGGTGAGTGCTATGAAATGTTTAAGAGTGACGATTCACAGACCTGTACCCCTGGGGCAAGTAACACATTATATGTTAATAAAAATAATTAATAAAAGAAAAGATTTTAAAATTCTCTCTCTCCCTCTACCCCTTCTCCCCTGCTTGCGCTCACTCTCAAAAAAGAGACTTTTAATTCTAAACACATAAAGCTAATATGTCAGAAATAAAAGCTAACTATAAAAATTAACTTCTAAAATATTACCAATAAATTCTAGCTAGACAGTGTGTCCTACTGGAGGCTCCTAGCCTAAGGGCTGCTTGTTCTGTGTTAGAAAGAGAGGACAAAGATTAGTTCCAAACCAACACTTGTTCCTTCACATGAGAATTAGGAATCTAGGTTACTTAAAGCTTTGAGTCCAATATTACTTCAAAAGCAGGATTTCTCCACGTTAGTGCAATTGGCCATTCTGGGCCAGATCATTTGTTGTCAGGGACTGGGGGGGGGGGGCTGTCCTGTGCATTGCGGGGAGCTTGGTGGCATTCCTGGCCTCTCCCCTCCGGGCATCAGTAGCGCCTGCCTTGGTCAGGATGGCCACAACTGTCTGCAGTCACTGCCAGTGTCTTGGGGTGGGGACCAAATTCACCACGACACCTCCCATGAAGCTACCCTCAGCCAAGTAACAGCGAGGAGGACCCAAGTTCAAAAGCTCACGCGTCAGCTATGTGTGTGCACAAGACTGGCAAGCCATCCAGCTTGCGGACCTGTGGGCCGCGGGGGAGCCGGACGCCCACCGCCACCCACCCCCCGGGGCCGGGATGCACCCCGCGTGGCCGTACCTGACTGGGTACAGGACTTCATGTGCTCGGGCCAGTGGGCCTGCTGGCAAGGGTAGTCACAATAGCTGGTGTTCCAGCAGCAGTAGAAAATGGCCTCCTTCTTGCAGTTGGCGCACCACTGCTTCTTCTTGGTCTCGTCAACCGCCTGCTGCTTCTCCAGCTCCAGCTGCTTCTTCACCTCGGCCATGAGCCGGTCCCGCTCCTGCTCCAGGCTCTGCCGCATCTCCGCCATGGTCAGCTCTGACAGGGGAGGGAGGAAGACACCGGTGTCACCAGCGGTCCCCCGGCCCAGGGCAGGGAGGTCTTCATACCGGATCAGAGAGGAAGCCCAGGACATGGGTTCCACCAGACAAAGAGTGCGGGTCCTGGCTCAGAAGTGCCTTGGCTGTGCGACCCCCACCCCAGGGCGAGAATCCTAGCCTGGCCACGCCCCAGCATCTACACCCGCAGAATGAGCACTCATCACGCTGACTGGCATGTCACCGTGAGTGTCAGGTCCCTAGCATGCAGATAACCCGCCCCTGATGCTGTGGGAAAACCTCAAATAAATTTCGAAGCAGCTTCCGTGAAGCTCGCTTTGAGTTTTACCATCAGTATGAGCTTTCCTATCCACCAAACACCTACACAGCCCCCAGCCTGCATGTGCAGGTGTGTTTTCTGACCACCTGTACCAACTCATTTCATCTTCATACTCACCCTATGAGACAAGCTCTACCATGATACCCCTTTCACGGATAAGGAAACTGAGGCACACGGCTAATTAGGGCAGAGCAGCCACTGGATCTAAGACACACTTTCTATTTAGTGTGTGCGGGGACGGTGGATGAGATCGACCACACAGGGCCCTGTGACTAATCATTACGGTTGATCAGCTATCGAACTGCTGTCTACTGACCCTTCCTCCTTTCACTTCAGGTAAAAAGTCCCTGCACAATTCCCCTGGGAGTGACCTGCACGCCAACAGAAAAATAAAGGATCCCTCGATCGTTAAAATGATCTTCCTAAAATTAACACACATACCCCTCTAAAAACACCAGGACAAGATGGGGGAACCTGGATGGCTCAGTCGGTTAAGTGTCCCACGCTTGGTTTCTGCTCAGGTCATAAGCCTCACATCAGGCTCCATGCTGGGTGGGGAGTCTGCTTGGAATTCTCTCTCCCTCTCCCTCTGCTCCTCCCCAAACTGGCTCTCTAGTATATGTGTGAAGTCTCGCTCTCTCAAAAATTAAAAAATTAAAATTTTAAAAAACCCAGAAAGAAAATTAACCCCTTCCACTTGTACCAGACGGCCTCTCTGCCGCTCACCACTGCCTTTAACAAGAAGCCTGCAGACATTGGTAAGTTCTGGCCAGCCCCACGTATTTTATTCCAAACGTGCAGCCAATTATTTAAAAATGGAGAGATTTGGGGTGCCTGGGTGGCTCAGTGGGTAAAAGCCTCTGCCTTTGGCTCAGGTCATGATCCCAGGGTCCTGGGATGGAGCCCCGCATCGGGCTCTCTGCTCAGTGGGCAGCCTGCTTCCCCCGCCCCACCTGCTGCTCTGCCTACTTGTGATCTGTCAAAAAAATATAAACAAAATATTTTTTTTAAAAATGGAGGATTCTACATAAAAACAGATTCTTTGACTTTATTAGAGAAACAAGAAGCCACAACATCCAACTGAACTTCCTCCATGGGAACAGCCTGAGAAGCAGAGGGGTCGTTCCCGGGCAGCTTCATAAGGATTTGCATTTGCAATGTGTGATTTCAGGATCCATCACCTGTGAGGAGGCGGGCACACCTGGGCGTGCTCTCCCTAACACTGGACACGCGACAACTGCCAGCATCTGAACGCTGGTGCTGACACTACATGCCTCTACCTTTGTGGGGAAAGCCTTTAACAACATGGACATGAAAGAGCAAGCCACAACAGCACCTAGTCTAAGCCAGGGAGCAACACAGTAGCCTCCCCCGCAGTGTGGGCAGGCCGGTGTCTGAGACTTTGTTAAAATGCCCAGTACTCAATAGGCAGGAGGAATCGTCTGGAGCCATAGCGCCCAGACCAGAATCCCAGCTGTGGGACTCCCAACAAACTTGCCCAACGTGTCTGTGCCTCACTCCCTTCACCTGGAAAATGGGCTAACACCCCTGTCTCAAAAGGGTTTCCAGGAGAATTACATTCAAAGTTAATTCACAGAGAAGTACTGAAGACTGTTCCTAGCCCAAAGTCAGAATTCACAACCGCTGCTGTTACTGTTTCGCTACTGATGCTGGCACCTTGCAGAGAAAAGAGGAGAACACCCCCCCACACCTGCTCTGGGATTCGACTCTCCAGGATTCTGTGGTCTCCCCAACAGTGGGACATCCCCAAGCCTACTTCAGCCTCAATCCATACCGGGACCTGCCTCCACAGCTGCAAAGCTCACACCCCATAACCATCCTCGGTACAGACCACCCCGCTGGGCCTCACCTAGGTTGTGTTTCATTTCCGAGAGCTCCTGCTGGTGCAGCCACTGTAGCTTCTCTATCTCGATCCTCAGCCTGCGAATCTGTAACGAGAGAGAGTGGGACTCTTAGAAGGCATGTCTGGGGGGACGGCATTAGGCAACAGGCTTAGAACTTGACCTCCAGCTGGAAGAGCCAATGCCACGCGGTGGACTGAGGCACAAGCAGTCTGGCTGCCGCAGTCCAGAGAGGTGGGCACCCCGTGCGTGACCCAAATTCAAGAGAAATTCTGTTTCCGAAAACCAAATACAGTTGATCTTTGTACAACATGGGGGGAGGGATGAGATCAGGGGGCACCAGCACCACCACGCAGTCAAAATCTACATGTAACTTTTGACTCTCCAAAAACCTAACAGCCTTACTCTTAATCAGGTAGCCTTACCAAAAACAGAAGCAGCTGATGAACACACACATAATGTGTGTTAGACACTGTGTCTATACAATCAGGTAAGCGTAACACAGTATTAAGAAAATCACAAGAAGGAAAAAACACAGAATACAGTACTGTACTGGAAAAAATCCACCTATCATGGATGAGCCCAGTTCAAACCCATTTTTCAAGGGTCAACATCACAAGCAGTCCATCTTTTCCAAGAAATACTGGCTCTAGAAAAAGCCATGTCAAGTAAAAACAAGGGGGAGACAGGGCACCCGGCCGGCTCCATTGCTAGAACATGGCGACTCCTGATCTCGGGGCTGTCCACACTGGGGACAGAGTTTACTTTAAACATGAACGAATAAATGAATGATGAATGAAGTAAAAACAAGGACCATATTTTCGTAATAAATTAAAACATGAAAGGTTTGATTAGAACTTTGGTCTAAAAAAAAAAATGACTGGGGTGCCTGGGGGGTGCTCATTCCATCAGGTGTCTGCCTTCAGCTCAGGTCATGATCTCAGGGTCCTGAGATGGGGGCCCCCACTGGGATCCCTATTTAGTGGGGAGTCTGCTTCTCCCTCTCCCTGTCAAATCAATAAATGAAATCTTTAAAAAAAAAAAAAAAAACTTGAACAAATAAAGATAGTTTTGTTTTACCTCTCATCTAAGATTTTAAGTAGAATCCATGGTCATAACCCTGAAATTCCAAAGCCTAACGTCTCTGGAGACCAAAGGCTATTTTGGAGGGAGGGGTTAAGTGTTGAGGAAAGTCATCTGGAGGGGAAAATTAAACTCAACCTGAACTGCTATGGGGCTATTCACAGAGTTTGAGGACCACAGTCCTTCCCTGCGGCACCGCAGGGAAGGACTGTGGTCCTCCACACTCCCTCCAGGACAGTGCAATGTCTCAAGACATCTGGCCTGACCCCACTGAGGGCTGCTACTGCCAACAGGAGGCAGAAGCCAGGATTGCTGCTAATCGGCCTACGATGGACAGGGCAGCCCCCGTAACAGGAAATTATCTGGCACAAACGTCAGCAGTTCTGAGGTTAAGAAACCCTGACTCATCCCACGTGCTGTGAACAAGCATATTTCACAGCAGAAATGGGGTGGGGTGTGCATATTGCCTTTTTAGATTCCGAAAAATGCCGCCCACATATGGACCCAAAGGATTCAAAGGAGACATTACGGATCCGTATTTACAACCACATGCCAATTCTTAAGCCGAACAAAAAAACAAGTATGGCAGCAGGGGGTAGGGGGGAGGGCATGCTTTACTAAGCCAACACTGCCCTTTCTTATTTGTAACATCCTTGCCCTAATCAAAAAGAGGGTCACATGTGAGCCAAAAAAATCTAAAGGGGCTCATTGATCCCTCTCGGGACCTCTCTCAGTGTTTTATATTCATACCATTCTCGGTTTAAAGCCCCATTAGGACACCTTCCTGGAGATTTTCTCTTCTGAGGGCCTGCCTAACCCTGCCAGGCCCTCGCAGGTCAATGGCTTGCGTGGAATTTCCAGGTCTCCAACCTCACTGGGAAGGACCTCAAGAAGTCCTGCCACTTGTCATTTCACCTGGTGACCCTCCCCACTCCCTCAGCATCTGGCTCACGGTGTATCAGCGTAAGGAAGGCAGTTGAAGGAGGTCTATTTTTATAAAACGTCACTTGGTAAGTGGACAATTTAATGTCTTAACCACTCCACTCCCCAGGCAACCACACAATTGCGGAGGTTCTCAGTACGTGAATTCTTAGACAACAAGGATCACTGGGATTAAAAAAGCCCACACTTAACAGAGAGCGGGGAGACAATTACACATGGGGCCAAAGGAACCGATCAGGGGGTGAACTCAAGCTCCGGTGGGGCGGCCGTCCTCTGCTCACACAAAGCAGGGTGTGTCCCCACAGAGCCAGCCTTTCTGGCTCAATGAAGAAGTACCCTCCCACCAACCACAGTCCGCAGAGCACTCCTGAGGGACTTCCAGAGAAGCCGCATCCTGGCCCCACCTTACAGCAGCCCATAAAACACTCTTAGCAAGTAAGAAATTACGTGTCATCGCTGACCTCAGCTATCGTGCTTCCCGTAGTGTTTTTAGAAAGATCATTGTAGATCTCTGTCATCGTTCCTTTTATCGCATCCATCATCTGAAAGACAGAAACAGAAACAATTCCGGTGATCACCTCCCTGAGGCTTTTCAAGAGGACATACATCTAAAATCTACCTAACATAAAGCAGCACTTTGCAACAGGGGGGCTTATTCTGCCCCTCGCAGGACATCTGGCATTTGTAGTTGTCCTGGGTGGAGGTCAAGGTTGAGCTAAATGGCCTACAGTACACAGAACAGCCCCCACAACAAAGACTTCTCCAGCCCAAAATGTCACGGGTCCTGAGCCTGAGGAACTGGTGTAAACCAGGAGGATAGTGATGAATCCCCTATAAATAAAGCTACTTTCTGTAGCCACGGGCTCATCTGGAGGGAACGAATGTGGGCCCTTGGCATGTTAGGTGGGGCCAACGCTGTGGGTTTGAGGCAGGGGACGTTTCCTTTTGTGATTGTTGCTTCCTAATTCCTGCCCCTTAAAACAAAACAGGGACGCCTGGGTGGCTCAGAGGGTTAAAGCCCCTGCCTTCAGCTCAGGTCATGATCCCAGGGTACTGGGATCGAGCCCCGCATCGGGCTCTCTGCTCAGCAGGGAGCCTGCTTCCTCCTCTCTGCCTGCCTCTCTGCCTACTTGTGATCTCTGTCTGTCAAATAAATAAATAAAATCTTAAAAAAAAAAAAAAAACCACACAGAGAAACAGAAACAAACAAACAGAACCATTTTATTGAGATCTCAATCAGACACCAATTTGACCATTCAAAGGGCGCAAATCAACAGCTTCTTGCAGATTCAGAGCTGCACACCCGTCCCCACGGTTCAGACCTTCCCCGCACCCCGAAAAGAAACCCTGCTGCCCTTCAGCTTCCCCCGCTTGAAGAGCCCCAAGGGCCCCCACCACTGATCTGTTTTCCATGCCTAAGGATTTGCTTCATCTAGATATTTTATTATCTACGGAGTCAATGTGGACCTCCATGACTGCCTTCTTCAACTCAGCACAGAGTTTTCAAGACCTGTCTGTGTCACGGGGCCTAGAAGGACTTCATTCCCTTTTATGGACGACTACTATAGTGCACGGTGTGGACACAGCCGATGGTTATCTGAAGGCCTTAGGTCAGGGCATTCACTCGCTGCCTTTCCAGTTTGCTTCCCACCTTCCCTCGCTCTCACCATCTGAGCCCTAAAGGCAGCGAGTTTGTGACATCAGCTCAGGTCCACGCAGCCAGGGGCCAGCTAGTTATAAGCTGACTGAACAGTGTCTATAGGATGATTTCTCTCTCCCACTTGCTGGCTGATCCCATGCCCGTCACAGGAGGAGGAGGAGGAGGGGACAGGAGACCAAACGGGGCCTCTAGGCCTGGGCTGGCCACTGCCAAGTGTCCACTGTGTTTTGCAGCTGGCTCTGATCCGGCAAGAAGGCAAGACACAGAGCCCCCCTTGTATCCGATCCCCGAGATTTCCTCCCACCGTCGTCCTCCCTCTGAGCCTCGGTTTCCCCATATAGAAAACAAGGATGACTACGGTGCCCCATGTAGGGTGAACACAAAAATTACAAGAAGTCCATTAAAGATTATGGTGCAGTGTAGGCGTTCAGAAATGCCTGTTCATCTTACTCCTACAGAAAAAAAAATACACATGACCTATAACTATGAAACTGCCAACCCCCAAAATACTAACCCCCAAATTCACCCCAAAATGGGAAAAAAACGAATACAATGTCTGCTGAGATTTCCGCTCTTATCTTGTTCCGGGGGCCACACAAGCACACTGCCAGAAGAAACACTTTGTGCTTTACACCGTCACTCTCTTTGGGCCTTCCTGTCCCGCTGGACCAACTACGTCCATTTAAAATATTAGAGCTAAATGGCTTTACGAGAAAACTTTAGAAAGCGGATGAAATTCAATACATTACTAATGCAATGGTTACATTCCATTTTAAAGAAATCATGGATTTGTGGACTGACTTTCACTCTTTCTTCCAAATATAGCCAAGAACGCAGCATTACTGAAGGGCGCCCTTCTGCCAAAACACACAAATCTGGGTCTTCGACTCGGAGACAGGGAAGTTCATCAGTTCCAAAAGTATGTCACTGTGTTCATTTTCTTAACTGCAAAGACAGTGTCTATCAAGAAGTTCATCCCTTAGTTTTGCTCTAAGAGCAAAAAGGGCAGCCAAAGGTCATGGAATAAAACTAGATGCGGAAGCTCAGAAAACTAGCTAGAGCCGCTTGGTGGGCCTCAGTTTCCCAATCTGTAAATAGGCAGCATGGACCAAATCAGTGCAAGGTGGTTACGGCTGGTCTACAAGTAGAACAAGAGAACAACACCTTCTTAAATCAGTAATGAAAACATGACCCCCCCCTTTCCAATCTCCTGTAACTCTGCACATCCTGTTAGGAAGAAAGTCTCAGCTCAGTGCCAGTACGACCAAACACTGATGACAATCTCTCCTTTTAACCAAAGGAACACAGCCTTTGGGCTTCAAGCTTTGACAAGGAATGATATGGCAATGTTAGGCTCACTTTTATTTTGGTTCTTCAATAAAGTCAATTTAAATAAAATTAAGTTCAATAAAAATATAAAATCAGTAACTAGCTGGCAGACAGGTAAGACTAAAATCTTGAGAATGCCCATATTTGACCTTGAATACTTGCTGTTCTGACATTCAGTGACTACGACAATTCATGCATTTTTTTTAAAAAGGTTTTTATTTGTTTGTTTGACGGGGGTGGGAGGGGGAGGAGGTCGGGGAGAGGTAGAGAGAGGGAGAAAGCAAGCACAGGCAGAGGACATGGCCAACAGGGGAGAAGCAGGCTCCCCGCTCAGGAAGGAGCGCAGTGTGGGGCTCGATCCCAGGATGCTGAGATCATGACCTGAGCTGAAGGCAGTGGCTTAACCAACTGAGCCACCCAAGCGCCCCAATTCATGCATTTTATTCAAAAGGAGAACAGACATAGTCAACGAGTGACAAAGTCATCCCTGAGACCAGTTTCGATTCTAGCTGGAGTGAGGGGGAGACTGGGGAAGCAGGGGGACATGAGGTAGGATTGCTTAAAAAAGCCATGTGCAAGAACAACAGGTTCTTTGGACCTTTGTGGTCAGTAGGCTTCACAGGGATTCACAAAGCAGGGGACCTAGCGCAGCCATGCCAACTCCTGGCTGCATGGGACGTGTTCTCCGTTGCTACGTTTTGTGGTAATCTGTTATGCAGGGATACCTGATACACCTCGAGAAAAGGGATACAAAGAAAGTGACCAACAAAAACCCACCAGTAAAAGATGATCAATCTCTAAAAGGGAGCCTACCTTCAACACAACACAGTAACGCCAGCTCTTCATCGTGAGACGTCAAGAATTCTAGATACAACTATTCCCAACGACCGTCACTCCACTCTTTCTAGAAACCTGAATACTTTATTCATTGTTAATTAGTAACTGATTCACTTGTGAAATGTAAATTATCATTACTGCCAGCTTAGTAACATGCTAAATACTCTTCCTAGGTTACAATTCATTAACTACTTTTTTTTTAAAAATCTTATTTATTTATTTGACAGAGATCACAAGTAGGCAGAGACAGGTGGGGGGGGGGGCAGGCTCCCCACTGAGCAGAAAGCCTGATGCGGGGCTCGATCCCAGGACCCTGAGATCATGACCTGAGTCGAAGGCAGAGGCTTAACCCACTGAGCCACCCAGGCGCCCCTCATTAACTACTATTAATAGCCACAGAGAACAACAAGCCTGATAAAGAGGCGTCAGGCACCCACAAGCAACTGCTCGACAACTCTGTATCGACACTGTGTGCCGGGCGCTTTTCTAGGCCCCGGAGGTAAGGCAAACAGACAAAACCCTGCTCTCGCGGAGCTGACATTCTGGTGGTCATTCTGCTACGAAGTAGGCTGTCGCATCAACCTGCACAAAACACCAGGGCGCTCTCATGTGACAGTGAGAACGGCTCCAGGAAGTATCCACCTGAACGCGACAATGAGCACAGAAGCACCTGCCAGTTCAGAGGAAGAGGCTGCAGCAGAGGACACCCACGAATGAGCCCACTGTGGGGATTCCCGCCGCCATGCCCCGGCGGGTGGGCGCACCGGGAGGGAAGCCACGACTCCCTGGGCCATTTGGTTCCTGGAAAACCCTAGAGGTCAGCGTCGCACCTTTACACATCTCGTGCTTACAACTCTTGCTTTGCTCCACAAGTCTTCTAAATGCAAACCAACCCCCTGGTCTGTTACTAACTGACAGAACAGTAGCTTGTTCCAGCTCTTACGGAAATGGTCTCAATGAATGATGTGAATTCAGAAAGGTGATTCTGACGTCATGTCACCTTCCCCGCGGTGCACTGACTTTAGCATCAGAGCCCTCAGAATAAGATGTGGTACATTCTACATTTCTCTGCCTGGATCCAACTTCAGACCCAAATGAAGAATGCGGGCTTGGCGGGCCTCAGGAAAAACAGGGTCTCCCCACCTCAGCACCCTGGAAAGCCTGCAAGGTCATGATCCTCCTGGCTCCCATTAGAAAGCGGGTTCTCTGACACCCCCACCCCCACTCCCAGGCGCCACCGGCACTCACTTTGCTAGTGTACTTGGCAATGTCCGCAGCGACGTCAGCAGAGGCGGTCGCGATGGGCAGGTCTGCACTGACCGAGGATGCGAGGGTGCTCGTGGACCCTGAGCTGGTGACCAGGGGCGATGACTGAGTGCTGGTCACCAGGGTGATGGTGGAGGTGGATGGGCTCTGCGTGATCTCCTTCTGTTGGACGGCTAAGAAAGCAAAGCGTGCTGGTCACCCCACTGTCACGGGAAGGGCCCAACCCAGCACAAAACTATGCAGAGGGACAGCGGTCCCTGACATACACCCCTTGAGCTCGTCTACATTCAAGTGAGAGACATTCTCCCCTTGACCAGACTCTGGCCAGGATCCTCTCAGCCTTTCCTGGGACAAGGTCTCAAGCATGACCCATAAAGCCTTGGGTAAACACAAATGTGGTTTCTAACAGTGGAAGGTCACAACCCTAGGGTGATCCCAGACACCCCTAACGTGCCTGAGAAAACAAGGTTGCCAAATGAATTTACCACTTGTTCCAGCCAACACCCTATGGCCCCTGTCTCCTAGTCTCTACGGGAGGGTAGGAGCAACTCCACGTGGGTTTCACATGGACCAACCCCCACTTCCTATTTTTTTTTTGTAAAATTTCACATCCTTGACTCTACTGGTGTCCCCACTCAGCCCCTCCCCTATCCCCCATTCTCCCTCTAAAATGCCCAGTCACCTCTGTACCAATTGGGGTTGGCTTCAGTTCATCCTGGACTTTCTTCTGCCTATCATAACAACACACACTGATTAAAACCTGTCCCTACCACTTTCACTAGCATCCAGGTTGTCTGTCTTTGACAAAGGACAATCTGGAATCTCAGAACCACACCCATCAATGGGCCTCTTTTTGACAGCACCTAAGTTTCCCTGAGCTTCTAACTCTTACAGGGCACGAACACAGAAAGAAAAGACTGGAACTAGTCATCCCGACCTTAACTATCCTCAATTCACTTCTGCCCCACTAGCTCTTTCCATACCAAAAGCGTCCCAGCTGCACTCCCACGGTGACCGTCCAATCTGTCAGGCCTCCTTCCCCCAATCTTCCAGGGGTTCTCTGGGGCTGGTTCAAGACCTGGCTAGCATTCAACCCATAGCTTCAGCTCTTTACAGCTCTACTCAGGAGGGGACACTCAGTATGTGAGAGTTTCAACCAAAGATCCCAACCACAAAGGATCAAGATGCAGGCTTCCCTGAGGGACAAGCTCGGCACCAGCACTCATGAAAGCTGGGCCAACAGGTACCCACCCAAGTAGTGCCAGATGGAACGACTTCAGCCACTGGTGCTTGATGCTGACTCTTCTGTAGGTGGCTAATCCCTAGTGATTAAGGTACCCTTTGCTACCAACTCCTCACACCGGACCCTTCCCAAAATAATGCCAAGAGGTTCCCGGGTGTGCACAAGAAAACTTACAGAAAGGTATTCACTGCAGCACTGTTTACAACAGAAAAAAAAAACAAAAACAAAAACAAAAAACTGGGAGCAACCTAAATGCTCACCATCAGGCGAATACTTGATTTAAATCAACTAAGTAAATACTATGCAGCAGTCCAAAAGAATAATGTAGATAGAGCTATTATGTACTAACACGGATGAACCCCTAAAACATGCTGATGGGTAAGAAAAAAAAGAAAAAGAAGAAGGGGGGGGAGGAAAAAAGCAAGTATGGTACCATTCTTATGTTTAAAAAAAAAGGAAAAAGAAAAAAAAAGTGCTATTTGTATGGAGGGTCATATATACGTAAATATATATGCGTACATGCATCAAAAAGGTTTCACGGTTAACAGTGGCCACTGAGAAAGGGTGAAGAATGAAATGGAAGTTTGGTCAAGACAACAGACTGTGGGGCAAATATTTTACCCCTTTCTAAGAAGCCTATATGCATGTATCATTGCTAACAACAGAGGGGGGTGGAAAGAAAAGTAAAAAAAAAAAAAAGTTGCCAAACGATTTTTTTAAAAATGCCACATGGAACACGCGAGGCCTTCAAGATACGACGGCCACAAAACAAAAAGGAACTGAAAAAAAGAAAAAAAAAAGAAAAAAGAAAAAGAAAACGGTTCTGTCTCTCCTGTCGATGTGGCGAGGAGGGAGCGGGCGCCACGTTGAACAGAAGGGGGCGTGGTACCTTTCACAGCCTGTCTGGTCTGATATCTCGTCCCCTGGGAAGACTGAGGCTGCTGGGTCTGCTGCTGGGTCTGCTGCTGGCGTTGCATCTTCTGCATGTGCCACTTTTGGGAAGACGTTTGAAACTTACTTGACGAGTTCCACGAGACCCGCTGCACGGCCGGGGCAGTCTCCTTCGGTAAAAGCGGCCTCTGCTTTTTCACCGGGCTCCCCGTGGTGGTGGCGGTGGCGGCGGCCGTGGCGGCGGCAGCGGTGGCAGCGGCGGCGGCGGCGGTGGCAGTGGTGGCCGGGGCCGTGACGGTGGACGTGGTGCTGGTGGTGACCGTGACACCAGCCATGGGAGTTTGGGAGGAGGAGCGGGTGAGGAGTGGAGTTTCGGGTGGGGACTGGCTGCCCGTTGTAGTGGATGGTGGAGCTTTACCTACGACTAAAGCCGACGCATGAAGACAAGTAAACGAAAAGTGGAGATTGGACTCGGCATGGCCCACGGCGTCTCCCTATGCCAGCACGTTCTGGGTCAGAGAGAGCGAGGCCAGCCACGAATGCTGAACAAACTCAGTACGGCCGGGACACCCCACCCCCGCCCAAGGACAGGAGCACATCTCACCTCGCACACGGAGGCCGCTTCTGCACACCTGTCTCAGAGTGTCGGCCTCCACTCGTGAGCACCTGCCCACATCTGAGACTGCTATCAGGGACTCTGGGAGAAACGGGGTGAACTGGACCCAGCCCCTGCCCTCAAGCAGCCCACCAATGAGTGATGAACAGAATCACTGCCCACGGTTTGTTTTATAATGAAAACCAGGTTAAGCACTTTCGGAAAGACCCAGCCGAAGTCAATCCAGAGATAAAGAGAATCCCCCGTGGCTAGGAACCTATAAAGCATGTAGCCCCGAGAACCAGGTGGCTTCCCAAGGGCCAAAGCACTGAACACCATGAAGTCACCCACAAAGAAAGTCTCCCTTGACCTCTCACTCCCTCCGGGACTAAGTCCCAGTGTGCTGCTAATGGCCTTGATCACCTGACACTAAAGGGAATTCCAACCCATACCCAGAACCTTCCCAACACAAGGGTATTGCCAAGTCAGGAGACTTGCTTTTGTTGTTGCTGTTGTTGTTTTTATTATTTTTTTTTATTTTAATTCCAGCAGAGTTCACGTACAGTGTTCTCCTTGCCGCAGGTGGACAGTATCGTGATTCGACAATACTACATGTTACTTAGAGCTTATCATGGTCAGTGCCCACCTTGCTTTTACTCTGACCATATTCCCGCTGCCACCTTCTTGCGGGCACTACTGGTTTACCTCTCATGCAGTGGTCAGACCTACACCTAAAATGATTCTGCAAAGCCTAAGTTGCTTTAAGTAAAAACACAAAGAATTATACAAGCAGGACTTGGGACGGGCCAAACTAGTGAATATGAATGACAAGTTTGGAAAAAGCTGCCTTCCGGAGTCTGTCTTCTAGGAAGGGCGGGGGACGGGGGTGTGGCGGGGTAGGATTTCAACAGGCAGAAGTGAGAATTTGGGGCGGGTGACAGCATCAGCCAAGACGTGTTTAGGAATAGGCAGCATTTCAGTCAGTGAGAGTAGGCAGGGAGAAGTGGGTGGAAGGCGGGTTAGAGCCAGAAGCACTGAGCAGCCCAGAAGGGGTGGCCCCATGGTGCTCATCTGTAAAGGGGGGGTGAAGGGGACCCTAAGTCAGTCATCACTACAGAGGTCCCAGCCACCAGGGGCGGGTTTGACACCCCTCACACCCAAAGCACGGGTACAAGGTCAGCTCCCCCAACAGAGACAACGGAAGGAGGATATGTCTGTTCTTTTAGATTTATGTAACCTGGAAAAGACCTGACCTTGATCATCCTAAGGAGGATTTTCAGTAAGCTGGGTTTTAGGAAGTCAAGGACTTTTATTCCTTAAAAAAACAAAACAAAACAAAACAAAACAAGCTGAATTTCCTGACTCCTCCACTCGAGTGTGGGGGGCTTTCTCCACAGTCATTGCATCTGCCTGACCCTCCTCTGTCCTTCTGCTCCTGAGTCCCCTCCAGTTCATGGGCAAGGGTGCAGGTGGAGCTGGAAGCGGGGCTCCCCATGGAGGGAGGATCCTTCCCCAGGGTGACAAGACACACCAGATACTGGATGCTGCCCCTGCACCTTGAAGGTGGGGAGGGGGCTCTGAACCCAGGTTTCCTAGGAACGGTGCACCAGGGTGATCCCCCCTCCCCCACCCCGTGGTTTCTAACCTGCTCATGCACTCTCCCTGCCTCCCTTTCCTCCCAGGTGACCAAAAAATATCCTGTTACTGTTGAGGAGCAAGCCTAGCCCCTCTCCTCAGACAATAGGTCCTCCTCTTTCTACTCATTTGCAGATGCACACAGCTGGCTTCACAGACAGGCTGCTGCTCTGCAGTGACAACGGCTGGCCCTCCGTTCCAAATAAAAACCTGGAATGTGCAACCCGAAAAGATTTTAGGCTTAAAGCACCCTTTGGGGTTACTACTTAGACACTAAAATATTTTGATTTCTAGAAGATTCTAACAGTTTACAGAAGGGAAAAAAGGCCATAGGAAAATCCATTTCTCCTAGAAATTTGGAGTGTATACTCGTATCACCTATATAGCCCAGAAAAGAGGGAATCGCTTAAGCTCTAACATTCCAGAAACTGCCCCTGTTTATCAACCTGTTTATTGTAGAGTTTGGTCACAGGCTTTCTAAGAAAAGGATGGAAAGTACTGATGTTGTAAGGTAAACACAACAATAGCAAGGTCTCTACGAAAGCTCTCTCTTTGCCTCTATCCTGAGTTCACCAGCTAGAAAGCAGTTTCGCTACCTAAGGCTCCAAATTCTATACATAAGCTTCATTCCCAGCTGAAGGTGAACTCAAGGTTACCATAGCACACTCCAGAATGCCCTTCACTTCATAAACTTGTAAGTGAAAACACAACGTTGAAAAAAATGCTCTACTGCAGAGTCTGATACAAAGCTGATTCTTCAGGGCGCCTGGGTGGCTCAGTGGGTTAAGCCTCTGCCTTTGGCTCGGGTCGTGATCTCAGGGTCCTGGGTCCAGGACCCAGGGTCCAGGTCCAGGTCCAGGTCCAGGTCCAGGGTCCTCTGCTCAGCAGGGAGTCTGCTTCGCCCCCCTCTCTGCCTGCCTCTCTGCCTACTTGTGATCTATCTCTCTCTCTCTGTCAAATAAAATCTTAAAAAAAAAAAAAAACAAAGCTGATTCTTCAAGATCAAAACTACCATCAAGGGACTTCAGATTAAAGATTGGTAGGTCTTTGTCCCAACCCCTGGGACAATGCCCTACCTGAATTATGTTTTAGAATCACCTTCAGCTTAATTACATACACCACACACATGGGGTCTCCCAGACATAATTCCTCCAGACATCAGTGCAAGGAAGAGCTGTGTTTCATTTAATCAAGTGGGATTTTTTTTTTTTTTTTTTAAAAAGAGGAGATCCTTTAAGGGACTGTATTTCCCTTGTTGCTTTGACTGCTAGGAAGCTCACAGCCAAAATGAAAGCCCAACTGTGCTAACTCTGAAGGCTAGAACATATTTCTGTGCATAAAACGTTCCCAGACCGCTTCCTATTCTACTTTCATCTTTTACAGACTTTATTTACATTTTGTTTTGTGGTTAATATATTCTTGTCAATCTGTTACAGAGTCTTTCTGGAAGGGGAAGAGTCATAAAACCAAACCATCCAAAGGTACAGTCTAGAAAATAAGGAACAGTGGAACTATTTCATTCATAGGAGCACTATGCCATCTCTGTATCCAAATATTCCCACAAACCACATGGAACAAATGCTACCCCCCTATTGTTTTCTGCCACATTCGCCTCAAACCACAATCCACAACACTTCATCTGATTTTTCAGAGGCCAGCCGGAAATCTAAGGTTACCCAGGAATGGTGTGCTGTTCTTGACTCCTGCCCCACTCAAGTGCTTCTCTTTCTCCCTCCACTGCCCCATTTAGAGACATTCCATCCTCTTGTGAATTCTCGCCCCTTAACAACGGAGATTCCACAGCAAACAAGAGGACAAGGACACAGAAGATAGATTCTCAAGGCCATCCCCAACTCGCTATAAGCAGCCAGGCTCAGAAACCCCCAGGGGGCATAGAATCACATGTTACTTAAGAGTTTGGTTGAGAAGTCTGCTGTCAAAAGTTGGGCATGGTCCAAAACGAAGCCTAACCCTTCAGATGTTCACAGAGTACATAGTTTTGTGCCTATGACCACCAGCTTGTCCTTAGGCAATCTTTTTCCTGGGCCCTTAATTAATTCTTCAATTTTATCTTTCTCAGGCATTGGAATCACCTCATACCCATGTGCCAAACCAACTGGAAAATGTGCTGACTGCTTTGACCCAGGGAAGAACACCTTTCCCATCATTCACATGTTCCTTCTCGAGGGTCTGCCAACATGCCTGGGCCACGCAGGCTTGCGGGCAGTTACTGCTGATTCAGCCTGTAACAGCACCAATGGAAGCACCACTGGGATCAAGCAGTGGTTCTCAGCTAGAAGAGACACTCGTCTCCCAGGGAACCAATGGCAATGTCAAGACGTCTCTCACTGCCATAACTGAGCAGATGCTCCTGGCATCTGGTGGGTAGAGGCCCAGAATGCTATTAAACATCCTCCAATGCACAGACATGAAGTATTACTCTGCACAAAATGTCAACAATGTCAGTGCTGAGAGATCCTGGACTTGGGTCAGCGAAACACACATGCCGTGGAACACCATTTCAGGTGCCCAACACCCAACACCTTCCCCAAATCTATGGCCCCAAGAAGCACTCAGCTTTCCAGTACCACCTCCCCAAATGATCTCCTAATTCCAGTAAGAAAATGCCCTGGGAAGGTGCCTGGGCAGCACGAAGGGAAGAAAGGGAGCGGATTCCTCAAGATCTTTGAACCAAACTCTTCTAGCAATTTCAACCTTGTCACATGTCTAAATGTGGACAAACACTTTAGGGAAATGAGTAAGCCTATTGGGAAAGCGGGTGCTTTGGCTAAAAATGACCTTGATGTTAGAAACACCTACCGTTTTTCACTTTTCTGGGCTCAAAACCAACCGCCTTGGGTACTAAGCAGATGCAAGGCCGGCAGGCCCTGTAGGGGAGCCAGTGTCAGCCCTGGGCCTGATCAGTGACTTAGCCAGGTGACCTTGACCCAACCAAAGCTCCACTCTAGTATTTCCCTTTCCGACGTCGGAGGGTCACATAACTTCTGGAAATTACAATTCAAGGTGGCACTCTAAACCAAACCAAGAAACCGTAAACTGGTGCGATCACTTACCATCCTGCTTGGGAGATGTTTCTTTGGGTTCCTTCTTATTTTTACGACCCTCCCGCCCAGAATGGTCTTCTCCTAAATCTATGACAAGTTCGCTTTCTGAATCGGAGTCCAGGCCCAAATGTACCGTTGGGGAATCGGTCTCATCCTTCCCCTTCAGTTTATCCTTTGTGGAATGAGGGGAAGCTTTCGCTTTCTCTGAAAAGTCCTTCTCGGGCGGGGGGCTTGCCTTTTCCTTCACTGAGCCCGGATCCGCTTTCTCGCTGGCCGGTGATGTGCTTTTCAGCTCTTCCTTAGTCTCCACCGGGCTGGCCAGTTTGGGCTTTTTTTTGACAGCCGATGGCTCTTTGTCCACCCGGCTACCCTCTTTGTCTTCTGCGTCTTCTGGCTCATTCTTGGACTTCTGCTCATCGTCACTGATATACTCACTATCGCTACTATCAGACTTCTCAGAATCTTCCGAATCGCTGTGCTCTACGGCCGTGTAAACATCTTCCGAGATTTCATTTATGCCTAAATTCAAAGAGAAAACCCAGCATGTGGCGTAGTCACAAAATAAAGAGCAGGACCTAAAACGCAAACATTTTCCACGCCAAATGCTGGAATAAAAAAAAAAAAAAAAACACATTTCAAATCTCATCACACTGGCCTGGTGGGCTTACCGGTGAGCTGCAGCAGACAAATGGAACTCGGGTTTGCGAAGGGTTTCAGTTACTGACACTCAGAGATGACAATGGACCAGACAATGTAAACTTTAAATTTATCCGGAGCTACATCTCTGCGTCCCTGATAACTCACTGAGATGTAGAGGATGGGAGGAATGGAAGGGAACAACAGAGATGAGCTGTTAAAACGGATCCATTTTATAGATCAGAAAATAGAGGCCCAGAGAAATCCCTTATTCTAGGACCAAGACAGAGGGAAGGCCAGAAGCCTGGGCTCCTGACAGACCAATAGCACTCTTCCCACAAATTCCCAAAGCATTCAAGTCCTTTTCCCTTTGTCTCCAGGACTCCAAGAAATAAGCCAGAGCCTTAAAGCAAAGGCCTGCCAACTCAAAGCCCAAGCCACATCGGGCCAGCACACATGTTATGTAGGAAGCAAGAAATTGGACCAGCAGGTATATTGTTGTTTGCTTTTCACTTAGAATGAACGTACCTCCCAATTCACAAGAAAGGAAATTTCACGCAGAAATCAAGACAACAGGCTTGTATGCAAAGAGCAGAGGATCTGGCCCCTCTGGGTCACAGGCCTGCAAGGCAGTGGCTGGCTAAGGCCATGAAGCCCCTGGCAGCTTCTCTCATGGACACACCACCTCCGGCTGACCCAAGAGCCCAGCCCTCCCTCCTGCTCCCTGCGCTGACGCCGCATCAAGCCACCATCTTGTCTGCCCTGTTCTTTCACTGACAGCGGAGTCCAGAGCAAAGTCACGCACTTGCACATCTCTATCCAACGCTAGACAAAATGACAACGTGGGAGGTGTACCTCACTCACTCACACACATACACATAGGAAAAAGTGTATTCCATTTAACCCAATTCTGTGTCCTGCTCCCAGTAATGACTGTCATCTGGCCACAGGTATACAATACTACACCCTAAAAGTCTAAAATAAGAAAAACCCAATTTGCACAGTCTTCATTCTAGAGCAATGGCCACCATAACAGGGGGTGGAGGGAGTGGGGCGGGGGGTGGCGGAGGAGGTCGTCACTCTCCTGACCCAGACACACTGAAAGGAAACCGCAAACAGATAAAAGCCATGAGCAGCCTAGCAGAATCATTATGGAATTACATGCCTCCACCGGGGCTTGATCCAAACCAGAAGCCAAAATACCAAAACTCAGACCTGGTATATCATCTGGGACCCTAAGGCTTTTACTACTGTAGTTAACAGTCAGACACCAGGATAAGTGTGACTACATATGTGATAAGAAGAGCTTGGATACCAGAGCCCCAAGGACATGAATTCAAATCCTGCTCTTGTATTCACTGTGTGACCTAAACTGACCTAGCTCTCTGAGCCTCAGTTTCCTCATCTGCAAAATGGGACTGATAATGGTTTCAACCTTCAAGGACAAGCTATGCACCGTGCATAGTACAGTGCAAGGTACACAGGAAACGGTGAACAGAAATACTAAAATTCTTAGTAATGTTAATCATAAATTGAGGAGTTAGACCAGCTGCATGGAAGGACCCAAGGTGAATATTTAAACAGCCTGCAAAATTTCAACCACGCTATTCAATGTCCTAATCGAACAGAAACTCCAACAAGAAATGTCCTCCTCTGGCCTTTCTGGAGGGCCCCTGACTATAGCTTACTCATCCCAAGGTCCACAGCACACCTCACCATGGTAGGCTCTCTCTCCTGAGGCCAGCCACCAGCTACTTCTCTGCAAATACTCTCCTGGCTTTGTTTACTAAGTCAACAGACATTTCAGAGCCATCTATGACATACACAAGTACTGTGGAGAACATAAATGCTTGTAAGGCAGGCTCCCTCCTCTCTAGGAGCTTCTAATCTGGCTTCTAGTCTAGAAGGACCCCCCCCCCCAAAAACACAAAGAGACCGCTGATGCTTCCAAGCAATAACGTGCCACAGGAGGCAGCAGACGGGGAGGGGAGGGCAATCAGAGGAGACTTCCTGGATGAGGCGATGCGTGAGGTCAGCCTTAGGGAAAGCATGTTGGGAGGCAGCGTGAAGGCAGGCAGCACGGGGAAGAGGGAGGGAGGCAAGAGGCACAGAAGCAGGACGCGAGTGCCTGGGGGGAAGAGCTCAGTCTGCAGCAGAAGAGTTTGTGTTGGACAAGTGGGGGGGACACTCTGAATCCTGACACTAGGACCCTGACGTATGCTGAAAGGGGAGCACGGGGCAAACTCAGGAGAATCACTCCCCTTGCAAACTCCCCTACCACCTGCCCCTCGAGTCTGCAGGCAGCCACAACCAGAGCAGATGCTGGGTGGAACTGGCAGAACCCTTCCGGACCGCTAACTGGCAAATATGAAACACTGTGCCGTGAGAGGCTGTTTTTCCGTTGCACAAACAAGGCCAAGGTCAAGCAGCTACCAGCAGCAGCCGGGATCCAACTTCGGCTTCGTCCGGGCAGTGACCCCATACAGAGAGTCAACAGTGACGGTGGAGACCAACAGCACCTGTGCGAGCAAACCGAAGGACGTACCTAATTGTGCTTTGCAACTCTCTATGGTCTTGTCAAGATTGAGCTGGAACCTGCTCCGGATCTGCCGCTTGGGCGAGATGAGGGGAACGGGCGCCGTCTGCTGCTGGACTGACTCACTCAGCTCCTTCAGGTCCATCTCGGCCTTGCTCCGATCTGAAAGACACGGTCACAGCGCCGTCAGGCAGGCGCTGGGCGGAGGACTAGGCAACGCTCATCGCGGAGCTTCCTTCTCGTGAACACGGCGGGGAGAGAAACCTCCAACCTTCTCACTGTCTGTCCCAGCAACATCATCTGCTCGACGACGGGCTGACTTGGAGAGAAGAGCCCGAGAACACATTTGGCGGGTTTACCCAGTCTACCGAACAGTCGCCTGGGTGGCTTTCAATATTTAAAATGCACAATCCCAGCCAGATGGTTGTCTGCGGAACGCCGCGTCATCGGGGAGCTCCGAAGCCAAAGGTGACAGTAATATACTCAATCTCAGTCTCAGCAGATAAAGTCACACCAAGTCTGGCCAGAGTGTACTTCCAACTCCAGGCCCAGATCACAGAGGGCTTGTACCCAAGGGATGTGGAGCGCCTCCCCCACCACGCCCACCCCGGAGCGGCGCGCGCACACACACGGAACTGGAGGCCGGGTTCCTCGTTCACCGCGGAGACTTCACTTTTCGTTCCTAGCTGACCTAGACGGGAGCTCAAGTCAGAAAAGGAGGGCATGTGTAGGATGGGCAGACCTCCTGCTTTTGGGCCAGGTATCCATCTGAAGACAGAGGGACAGATTAGCCCTGGATACTCAACCTGTGTCTTCTCGCTCAGATACAGTGAGAGCTGCTGGCCTTAGTCCCAGGCAAAGGCCTCTGACGGAGGACTCAGGGCCAGGGGTCCAGCCACCCTCCCCATTTCCACCACGGGCTCCTTATATGACCAAGTGGAATAGATTCCATGGGTCTGTGAGCTAGCATTGCTTGAATTCCTTCCCCACCTCCTCCAAAACCCCCTAAAACAGAACAAAGGGACAAAATGAAGGTGTCTGCACAGGCTGAGAAAGCAATGAGACCTCACGGAGCTCCCTGCCTGCCACCCTCTGGTGTGCCCCCTCCCTCTCCCACCGACCCCAAGCAGAGAATGTGGCGCACACGCCCTGCCCTGGCCGATCCCAGAAAAAAACTGGAATGCGTGTGGCATCCATCAAGGACAGAGATGAGAAGCCACCTTTGAGCCTGCTGCCACCACCTGGGAGCTCACTCTTGGACGTCCATCTCCCTGCCCTCCCCTCCGCAAACACCACCTTGCTCCGGCAGGCCAGGGTATGGTCTGAAAGCTGGACCACCCGGGCTGCTCAAAACCTTCCTTTTCTGCTCGTTTCCATTTTCCATCATGACCCAGGCACCTTCCCCTTCACCCAGGAATGGGGCCGTCTCTCACCCTGTACACCCAGAGATTTGTTCCTTTAAAGCGACCGGAGAGAGGCAGCTTCCCAAGGCCCCAGCCAGCCCACTGACAGCTAAGCAGAGCAACAGACGGCTCCAAGTTGATTTTATCACCATGATGAGGTCCTGACCAAGGTAGGATTAGGAAGGGCCCTTTCCCAAAAACATAATGGGAGGCGGGGGAGCCCTCAGGAGATTCCGGGTGTGAGTTGCTCACAGCAAGCAGATACCACCCTTGTCCTGCGAGACAGGGCTCCATATCCAGCTGTGAGTGAGCGTGTACATGTGCATGGGCATCCGTGTGCACGTGTGTGCAGGACTGGACATGCTCACAGAGAGGATGGGGTGAAGGCACAGGGGAAGAACCTTCATGCAAATTAACCTGAGAAGCATCTCAAAAAGAGAAGGCACGAGCCAAACAGTAATAAAACAGCAAGGAGGGGGGGCGGTGGAGAGGAGGAGGAAGAGAAAAGAGAAAAAAGAAAACCCTCATTCAAGAGCAGTACTGGCAGGAATTAAGGTTCCAAAAGTTGAGCTGTGGATGTGACAGGAAAGGGGGGAAGGCGGGGGGAAGGCTGTCTCCTAACTTCCGCTTTCAGAAATGAGAAAGTGGGCAGGATTCCTAAGGGAACAGGCAGCCTTTCAAGTATAAAGTTGTCAAAGAAAAAAATCTCACGAAACCACATTCCCTCAGTGTCCTCAGTAATGTTCCGCAAGCCAGTTACCAAAAAAACACCATCTACGCTACCAGGAGTCAGACAAGTTTTTCTATAAAGGGCCAAAGTGACCTGGGCTCTGCGGGCCATGCAGGCTCTTCTGCCAAAGTGGCCCTACATGATGTGTAAACAAACTGAGGACACCCTGTTCCAATAAAACTTTATTTACAAAAACAGCTGGAGGCCAGATTTGGTCCAAAGGCTGTAATAAAATCTGCCATCCCCTCTTGCGATGTTAACTGCAATCTTTTTTTTTTTTAAAGATTTTATTTATTCATTTGACAGACAAAGATCACAAGTAGGCAGAGAGGCAGGCAGAGAGAGAGGAGGAAGCAGGCTCCCCGCAGAGCAGAGAGCCCGATGTGGGACTCGATCCCAGGACCCTGGGATCATGACCTGAGCCGAAGGCAGAGGCTTTAACCCACTGAGCCACCCAGGCGCCCGATGTTAACTGCAATCTTATCTGCACAATGAAACCACCTACAGAGCTCTAAAAAGAAAAAAAGCGTTGGTCCCCCCCCCCCTCCCAGAGAATGTGAATTAACTGGCCTTGGGGGAAGGTCTGGACACTGGCCCTCTCCAGACCCGAGGCCAGGCTGGTTCATTTGGTTGAGCCCTTGAGTCCGAGACTCTTGATCTCAGGGTCATGAGTTCAAGCCTCACACTGGGCAGGGAGCCTACTTAAAAATAATAACCCAGATGATTCTAACTGGCAGCTAAGGTGGAGAAGCCCTGTATTAGTCCAATCTTCTATGTGAGTTTAAAAAAAAAAATCCTCCTGGGGTGCCTGGACTGCTCAGTCAGTTAAGGCTCAGGTCATGATCTCAGGGTTAGGAGATCGAGCTCTCTCTCCAATAAATAAATAAATAAATCTTTAAGAAAAAAGAAAACTCCTCCTGATTTGCCTTAACCTTTGTATCTCTGTGTTAACCTTCTAAACCTAGGGCTCATTAAGAGACCTACACCTCACCAGAACACTCCTGTGTGTGCGTAACCGTATGTCGAACAGTAAACGCAATCTTTTAACTTTAGCCTAAGAAGGCTGCCCTCGCAAATACTCATCATCAGGAGGAATGAAAAGAAGGTAAAGCACCTCCTTTTAAAGTGAAGGTTTCTCTGGTCAATAAGCCACAGTAATGTTTATCCTAACAAGAACCCACCAAAAGCCAGGAAGGGCCTGGGATCAGGTCCCTGGGAGGAGACCTTCAGTTTAGCCAAATCTAATTAACTTTCTCGAATTTTCAGCTGCGTTTTGAGTTTCCCTCGCCTCCACAGGGAGAAAAGAAGAGCCTCTCTTTCTTGTTTAGCTAATAGTGGCTTATCGGGACTTCTTCCGCCCCGGCCCTTCTGTATCAGGAGTATCTTCAGAATCCACCTTTGCTGCCAACATTTTGAACTTTTCAGCTGATACGAAGACAGCCTGGGCTATAAATAGAAACCAGGGTGAAAAAAAATACCAACGCTAAAGAAAGAGACATGATCTTACATTTCTGGAGGGAGCATGTATCAGAAGCATCCCTTCAGAGGGCAATTTGGCAGTATCTCTCAAAACGTCAACCGCACACGGCCTCTGACCGGAGATTCTACTTCTAGGAACTCATCCTATGGCTACGCTCCCACATGGGGTAAAAGGCTCTTCACTGCAGCTATTTTCAACAGCAAAACAGCCTAGAGCCAATAAATAAGTCAACACTTCACCTTGAGGGGGAACAAATACCGCTGCTTACATGAAAACCCTATCAGATCTTTATGTGCTGTTCTAGAAAAGCCAACCTGTTTAATGAGACCAAAGGTGACAACCGGAGGGACACATGAGCGCTGGTGTAGGGGAGGAAAGCAGGAAATGGAACACAGATCTGAATGTGTGTTCTTGGGATTTCTCAATGTTGGCACTATTGGTATTTGGGGCTGGATAAGTCTTTGTGGGGGCACGTAGGGAAGTGGGGGGCTGGCGGGGCGGTCCTCCTGCGCATTGTAGGCTGGTCAGCGCTTCCCTGGCCTCACCCACCAGATGCCAGCAGCACCCATATCCCAGTTGTGACCATAAAAATGTCTCTAGGGCCGCCTCCAGACGGCTCCCATGCTGCTTACTCTTGATCTCTACACCCGACGTTGGGTGTGGAGATTACTGAAAAATAACACCTCCACAGATTGCCAAACGTCCCCCTAGCAGACAAAAATCACCCAGGTTGAAAACTCCTGGTGTACATATAGAAGAACTCTTCAAGAGGACTGAGAAGAGGTAACCGTGGTCCTTTGTGGGGTGGGGCACAGAGACGTGATCAGGTTACAAACAAACTGGCTTTTCATTAAACATCTTCTGTCCTCTTAAATTTCTCTTACCATGTGCCTCCATGACTTATAAAAAATAAACTCTTTATAAGAAAAATATAAAAAAAGAAAAAGAAGAAATACATAAGCACATCTTTTTCAACTGAAAAAAAAAATTGATTTCTTAGGGTGCCTGGGTGGCTGAGTTGGGTTAAATGTTCACTCTTCATCTGGGCTCAGGTCATGATCTCAGGGTCTGGGCTCTGGGCTGCTTGGGATTCTCCCTCTCCCTTTCCCTCTGCACCCTCCACCTCCCCCCTCCATCAAAACAAAAACAAAAAAAAAAAAAAGAAAAAAAAAGAAAAAGAGAAAGAAAGAAACAGATTTCCTTTGTTCCAAAGCTGCTGGGTGACTATAACGGATGGACTTCCAGGAGCTACAAAATGGTGGCTCCTTCAAGGGCACAGTACCATCCAGCCCAGAGACCCTGGTAAATATCTCTTATCAATCAACACCAAGCAGAGTTGTCCTCACGTCACCCACTGGGAGAGTGGGGGAAGGAGGATCAAGACAATCTGTGGAAAGCCTGGGTCTCGAACACATGTTCTCAAAGGATGCCTGACTTCAAGGTATCACTTTATCCAGAGAAAGAAAGGCGACCTCCCATCAGTGACAGCCGAGGGAATAAGCAAGCAGCAGCACGCCGGGTCTGACAACTTCCCGTTGCTGTCAGCCATCTCTCACTGATCACCAGACACATGTGTGTCACCAACAGGATCACTCAACTGCTTTGTTTGTTCAGCCCAAAGCAAACACCCTGCGTGATAAAGAGGAGACAAGATTCCCGGAGACACAAACGGGAGTCTGGAAGACGAAAAGAATCAGGCCTTCCTCCTCTTGTTCTTACTGATGACTTATTTTCCATACAGTCACAGAAAGGCGCTGTAACCATCCACCAGCCTTCTGCTCCGTGTTTCAGAGCTGCCAGGAGGCCTGAGACAGCCAATGAGGGCCCCGTGTCTCAGCAAGCCGGCAACAACGGCCTCTGCAGCAGCTCTCCCCTTTGTCATGTGCCAAAATTAAGTCTAAGAATCACGTACGCAGCTGATGACCCATGGGCTGGGCTTCAGTATTCTGGGTTGGACTTACCTGTTCTGACTAAACAAGAGTTCTCATTTTTAATGCAATTGATTACCGATTTTTAAAAACGAGGAAGAGTTCATATAAAAATCTGCATTTCTGTGTTTTCTTGAAAACTCAGCATCTGACAACACAGGTTCAACTTGTGGGAGCCGCATCTTTCAAAAAAGCAATCCGTCCTCCGCAGGAGTGCCCATTCGAAATCCTCACCCCACCCCACCCCCGGCCCGGCCCCACAGGTAGGCCAACATAGCCAAAGGCACGAGAAGCCACGTCCGGGGCCCACCAGGATCCGGACACAGCCCTGTCTTACAGCGTGGCAGCTCACGTATCGTGGCTGAGAGCACAAACTACAAGGCAGACAGGCCTGAGTCCACAGACCAAACATGACAGCGAACCACAGGATCCTAGCAGAGCAGCTAACTTTGCTTCTCTGTGCCTCAGTTTCTACTGCACTAAAATGGGACTGTTATCTACCTTGGAGACTGCTGTAGTTTTTTCAATAGTTTTAACTTACAGAGAGTAAAATCCAGGGGGAAATACAGTTGTAGGTGCTTTAACACCTCACTACAGGTATGCGTAACCAGTGTCATCAGTCAAGACCTCCCTGACCCCAACCCCATGCCCCCTGGCCCCGCCTAAAAAAAAAAATCATTCAGGATATCCAGCATTCTAATTTGGGTCTTTTCCAGTCTTTTTCTTTTTTTTTTTTTTAATGAAATACCATTTTGTTAGATATAATAATGGTGTCAGCATCCCCAGCACAGTCTCATTTCTATCTGCTTAAAGTAGTTATACAGATGCCAGACATGAAAAAAAAAAGCCCCATGGGATGCTGGGATGGCTCAGTGGGTTAAGTGTCCGACTCTTGATCTCAGTTCAGGTCTTGATCTCAGGGTCATGAGTTCAAGCCCTACACTGGGCTCCATGCTGAGTGCGGAGCCTACTTAAAAAGAAAAAAAAAAAAAAAAAAAAAACAAAGAAAAGTAGCCCCATACAGAGCATCGGCCCCAACCTGGGCAAGCTCTTGAAGATTATTTAGAACTTCCCTCCACTGTCTGATCCTGCCACGACACTTTCCACCGGTCTCTCTCTGATCCTCTTCCCATTAGGTAACGAAAATGCTGGCCCATAAAACACCCGCATTCCCAATGCTTTCATTCCCACTGACAAACAAGGCAAGTGTCCTAGAACGGAAGGAGCTGGGGGCGGGGGGGGGGTGTGCGTCTGCACAGGAGCACCTCGGGTCCCACCAGGCCCACCCACCCGCACACACAATGAGAAGAAATTCTTCACCGCCACCACGGATAGGCCAAACGGATAGGCCTCTGCACACTGCTCCTTTTCAGGGTGTGGAGGTGGAGGGAGGGTGTGAGAAAGCAAAGCACACTTCTGAGATCAACGAATGTTCCCCAGGGGCGCAAATGGGTCCGCTTTTGTGCAAGTGAGCAATTTGCACGAGCCCATCTGAGCTGGAACCCCGAAAGTTACCATTCTGCCTGCCAGACCACATCCGGGCTGCACTAACAGGGGAGCCAGAGCGGACCAGACTCTGGGCTCCATGGACACACGAGCTTCCTCCAGCCCGGCCGCCTACTGGCTCTGCGATCCTGGGCACCTGCAGCATCCCCGCCAGATCCCCGTCTCTCCATCTAGAAGGGCACTGGGCACTGCAGGACAAGATCAACCGGGAGATTACTAGCCTCCAGAGGCTGTGAATTCACATGTGAGCACCACTGCACACAGGAGGCTGCCCTCCCTCTCTTCCTAAAACCCTGGGTTCTGAGTCTCCCTTCCCGGCTATGACAACCAAAAATGTCTCCAGACTTTGCCAAGTGTCCCCTAGAAGGGGAGTGAGGGAACAGCCCGGGGGAAGACAGCTGCATAGGCTATCCTCAACACTGCACCCAGCATGGTCCTTCGAAAACGCTCCGTGAGCTCACATCCCTCCGCTGTTCCAACAGCCCGGCACCAGGGTCTGCACCAGGGTCCGCACCAGGGTCCGCAGGGCTGATATACCTCAGCTCCTCACCTTTCCCCCACTCGCCCACTGGGACAACCATCTGGGCCTCCCCATCAGCATCCCTTATCCTAAGGCTTGTAAATCTCTAGTTACTCCTTCAAGGCTTTCCTCCCGATACAGGGATGGCTGGTTTTTCTTGCCATGCCAATCTAGGTTTAAATACCACCTCAAGTCAGCTCAGCGGGGAGCCTGTGAGATGGGAGCCGGCTTCTCCCTCTCCCACTCCCCCTATCTTCCTTCTCTAGCTGTCTGTCAAATAAATAAACAAAATCTTTAAGAAAATACATACATACATACCACCTTGCAGACACCTTCCCGAACCACTGCCTCTTCCAAACCACACCCAACCTGCCTCTCACTCTCCTTACCACGTTAGCACACTTGACCTTCTCTCACAGGGGGAACTGTCCTGTTTATTTACCTTATCTCTGTCTCACTTTCTAGAACCCAGCTCTCTCTGAGAGCTGGGCCCTCACTCACCACTCCCTGCCCTGTCCCTGAAACAGCACACAGCATGTAATTCTCAATAAAAATCAACGATCATGATGGAATGAATCAATAAAATAACTTCACAAATGGATATTTAGCATTTCCGATGATCATTTCTCTGAAAACTTTCGCCTGAGGTAGTGATTTAAAAAAAAAAGAAACCGGGGGCACCTGGAAGACTCAGTGAGTTAAAGCCTCTGCCTTCAGCTCAGATCATGATCTCAGTGTCTTGGGATCGAGGCCCGCATCGGGCTCTCTGCTCAGTGGGGAGCCTGCTTCTGCCTGCCTCTCTGTCAAATAAATAAAATCTTAAAAAAAGAAAAAACAAACAAACAAATGAACTCCAATGGGGGCGGGGGGGACAACCTACTAAGAGTTAAAAACCAGCATTTTTTTAAAAATTAGAAGAGAATTAGGGGCGCCTGGGTGGCTCAGTGGGTTAAGCCACTGCCTTCGGCTCAGGTCATGATCTCAGGGTCCTGGGATCGAGTCCCGCATCGGGCTCTCTGCTCAGCAGGGAACCTGCTTCTCTCTCTCTCTGCCTGCCTCTCTGCCTACTTGTGATCTCTGTCTGTCAAATAAATAAATAAAATCTTTTTTAAAAATAAATAAATAAAAGTTAGAAAAGAATTAAAAAAATGTATCAGAATACACTGCACATAGAAAAAGGAAATACTATTCATAAAACTTTATATACATCGTGTGTGTGTGCACAAAACATTAAAAGGGCGCCTGGGTGGCTCAGAGGGTTAAGCTTCTGCCTTCAGCTCAGGTCATGGTCTCAGGGTCCTGGGATCGAGACCCGCATTGGGCTCTCTGCTCAGCAGGGAGCCTGCTTCCTCCTCTCTCTGCCTCCTTGTGATCTCTGTCTGTCAAATAAATAAAATCATTAAAAAAAAAAACAAAAAAAACATTAAACATATACATACACACATAGGAACCCGAGTGACCTAGTTGGTTAAGCGTTAGACTCTTGATTTCAGCTCAGGTCATGATCTCAGGATCTTAAGATTCAGTCTCTCGACAGCCTCCACGCTCTATGCGGAGTCTGCTTGAGATTCTCTCTCTGCCCTCTGACCCTCCCTGCGCTCCTGTGCACGCAATCTCTCCCTCTCAAATAAATACATCTTTCAAAAAACATACAGACACATATCTAAGAACCAGGTTACTGTGGTCAAGAACATGAAATGGCTGTGAACACTAGCCTAAGGTACTTCAGATGAAAAGACTCTGCATGTCAGCAAGCCCCAGGAAATCCCTTACTTGCTCCTCTAACCAATCTCTCTGCATCTTTGGCCAGTGTATACCTTTTATGTATTTTGCAAAGAGAGAGGAGTTCAGAGTTCAAGAACCACACGCAAAAGAGGACATCACAACTTGAAAGACTATTCAAAACTGTTGCAGAGAGAGATTTCCAAAAATTCCCACTGACCCAAGTTAAGATTCAGGATGCTTCCAGTACTGGAGGTTTTGTCCGTTTTCGTGGTGATGGGTGTTGATGCTTGAGGGGAGAAAGTTTTCGGGCTGCCAGATAAACTCCCTGCTTGTCCCGTCTTCGCAGAGGCTGGCGAAGCTGGAAAAGGATGTTCATTGTTACAAAACGGATTTACAAATAAACAAACAAATCAAACTTGTGTGCACAGGGGGAGAGGAGAGAAATCATATTTGATTTCAACAAGCCCCCACCCGAGCACCACAGACGAGGCGCAGCAGGAAGGGCTGGCCGTTCATGTCAAGTGTCACAAGCTTTAACCCAATATGAAACCGTTAGAGCTGCGACGGAAGAAGGCCTCCCCTTTCCCGGTCATTCTGTTCAACACAAAACTCTAAGACAAATCGGCTAAGCTGCCACTGAAATTGGTTTGGCCCGTTCACGGGTGTAAATCTCAAAATAAACATGGATTACACCAGCCCCCAGCACAGGTCCAGTGGCAGAGACCGGAGCCAGGCTTACAAATGGCAAGCCGTCCGTTTGGGGGAGATGCACAAGCTGGCTCGCACAGTGACTACACCTGCCAAAGGCCAAGTCGACCCCTTGGGAGATCTCCGGCTTCCCACGTCAAAGGTTCTGTGATGCTGAATGAAACCAAACCCGGCACCGGACAGTGAGCTGGGCAATTACCTCCTTCCTTACTATGCTCCAAACTTTTACAGGAGGAGAGAATCCTACCTAAGCCCGAGTCTTTTAAAAATACCTTGTAACTACCTACATACGGACCCCCTGGGCCTCACCCACTGAGCTGGGGGTAGGACAAGAACCCAAACCATGTGACAAAATGTGTTCAGTGTTCAGATGGGCCGTGCCTCCTGGAGATCCTAGAGATCATGCCCCTTGGCCTAAAGAGTCCATCGTTTCTGCTACTGTCACGCCAGACTACCAAATGGCCAGCCTTCCTCACATGCACAAGAACCACGGATTTTGCAGTGGTCTGGTCCTTAGGAGAAGCTGTTGATGGCAAAGGGGTCACAAATCAGGACATCCTGAGGATTTCAAAAGAGCTCAGACACTCTGCTGAACGCTTGTCTCGGTCTGCTCACCTGCCAAATGGGTGGGTACTTAGAATGAGGATCCAACGGGTGAAACTCATGTACCCACGTAGCTCTAGCACCAGGTCTTGTCAACACGACCGTTAATGTAATAGGGAGGGAAAGACCAGATACAGACAGAGGTAGCCACAAGCATGCATCGAGAGCCAGACACTGGGCTTTAAGTCCAACCCTGCAGCTGACCTGCGGGGTGTCCTTGGGCAAGTTAACGGATGTCTGTCAATCTCCTTTCCTCCTAGGCTCAAAGAGGCACATTGATATATAATACAAGAGGATAGGTCAAAGTCCCTACCTCACTGAGTTGTAAGAATCAAATAAATTCATCACCTACCCAGTGCCAGGCATCGGCTAAGTACTATATTATTATTATTTGCTGTCTGTGTAGTAGTATTTTCTATTTTCGCATAAACCTCAAGGGCTTTGGTTTTAATCATCTGAACAAGTAGTTTTTGGCCACGGGTGCTGTTGCCATACAGGATGCACCGGGTAATGTCTGCAGACATTTTTGGCCATCACCACTGGGGGTGGGGAGGGTGCTACCGGCATCGAACAGGTGGTGACCAGAGACGCTGCTCAGCACCCTATAAAGCACAGTCCCCCAAAACAAATAATTCGCTTTGGTCCCAAAGGTCAGTAGTGCTGAGTGATAAATCCACCAAGAGGTGAAGTGGGCTTGTCTCCGGGAACCCTTCTCTTCATCTTGCAAATGAGAAGGGCAGGTAGTCCTCAGCAAAGGCTCAATCAACACTTGAAATTTCAAGAATTAAATTTTTCTGAATACTAAATTAAGTTCATTTTGCTGTAAGGATGGACAAATGCGGTTAAGGACGGACAAGTTCTGTCCAATGAGAGTGGCACTCGCTGTTACTAGCCCTGTTACCAGTCACTGGTACCCGAACAACAAGTAGAACTTAAGCACTTAGCACACCAAAAAAACAAAACCAGAAACGGGAATCATCAAAGGTAAAGGCATTTCGAAAGGCGTGAGCATGTGAGCCACAAAATCTATAGTTTTCTTTACTACTCATTCACTTATATTCTACCTGCTTCCTTTCCAAAAGAGATTTGCAGTTTCCTCCTCTCTTTTGGAAAGGAAGCAGGTAGAATATAAGTGAATGAGATCAGGGCCTCAAACACTGCATTCTCCCGCACAAACTGGCCACCACGGGGAGCGGGAGGGTCTTCTACCAACCAAAGCCCTGGGCGCAACTTCAAGGCACCCTGACAAGCGCGCCTAACCAGAAAGGGTGAGCTATAGCAAAACCACACGCCCATGGGCTGTCCCACACAGAAATCAACCCTGTGAGGCCACAGTTCCCAACTTAATAATAACAGCTCCCGTGAAAAGAGTTAAGAAAGGCAGGATGCGGGACGCCTTGGTGGCTCAGTTGGTTGGGCAGCTGCCTTCGGCTCAGGTCATGATCCCAGTATCCTGGGATCGAGTCCCACATCGGGCTCCTAGCTTGGCCCTCTGCCTCTGCCTGCCACTCTGTCTGCCTGTGCTCTCTCTCTCTCTGACAAATAAATAAATAAAATCTTTTAAAAAAAGAAAGAAAGGCAGGATGCCTGGCTGGCTCAGTCGGAGGAGCATCTGACTCTTGATCTTGGAGTTTGAGCCTGTATCTATATTGGGTATATAGAGATTACTTTTAAAAAGTCAAATCACGGGGATGCCTGGGTGGCTCAGAGGGTTAAGCCTCTGCCTTCAGCTCAGGTGATCTCGGGGTCCTGGGATCGAGCCCCGCATCGGGTTCTCTGCTCGGCAGGGAGCCTGCTTCCCCCTCTCTCTGCCTGCCTCTCTGCCTACTTGTCTCCTCTGTCAAATAAATAAATAAAATTTAAAAAAAAAATAAAAATAAAAAGTCAAATCAAATCCTGGTTGGGGGGGGGCGTGAGGAAGGAGGGAGAAGCCAGCAGGTGGTCTAGCAGAGCCCTGCCCCACTTGTGGTCCTGCAGGAGAACTCAGCAAGCACAGAGACAAAGCTATTTTTTTGCAATCCGGTAGTTAAAACATAACTGGAACAAGTCTTTAATTTCACAGAAACATAAAGTTTCCTCTGTTAATAAAACTTAAATATTGAAGGTTTTTTAAGAAATATGTTCTAATTTTTTTTTTCCAATTTCAACCCAGCAGTTAGACAAGGCAGGTCTGGTTCACTCTCCCCACAGCCAGCAAAGGTCACAGCCCCCCTCACAGACATCTGGGAGAAAAGTGACTCATGTAATTGGGAAAGGGACAGCACTGGGGTCACCCAGCACCACAGGGTCCCACACTGCAGAACTCTCCTCATGGAAAGCGATGGTCCCTGCCCACACCTGAGAACCACACACCCCTCCTCCCCAATTTGTGAAACACCCGTGTACCTGCCTCAACCTCCCCATATTGATTAATGCTACGACCACTCACCTAGATGATCAAGGCCAAACACGTCTACACTGCCTCAATTCCTCCCTTGCTCTCCTGCCTCAACTTCCTCCACTCCTCACCAAGGCCTCTGAAGACGACTTCCAAAATACAACCCCCAGCTCCCCTCCGGTCTCCCTGCCCACTGCTCTCAGCCTCGTGCACACATTCTCAGTGGGACAGTATGGCCCTCAAATGGCAGAAAGTGGCTCTTGGTCGGGGGAGGGGAGTGAAAAAACTTACTCTTTTTATGTATGAAACAGACACATGCAGTACATAAACAGACCTGCAGTATTTTCAAATTTCCTGATAGTCCCCTCTAGGTACACACCCCCAGACCGAAAAGGAGTACTCAACTCCCGGGGTACAAATGCTATAGCAGCACTATTCACAACAGTTCAAAGGTGGAAACAACTGAATGCCCACCAACGTACTAAGCGGGGTGTGCACAGGAGCCCGTTACTGAGCCATGAAAAGAAATGAGGTTTGTGGGGAGCCTGAGTGTCTCAGCGGGTTAAGCCTCTGCCTTCAGCTCAGGTCGTGATCTCAGGGTCGTGGGATCGAGTCCCGCATCGGGCTCTCTGCTCGGCGGGGAGCCTGCTTCCCCTCTCTCTCTGCTTTCCTCTCTACCTACTTGTGATCTCTGTCAAATAAATAAATAAAATCTTTAAAAAAAAAAAAAAAAAAAGAAATGAGGTTCGGATGCATGTTGCATTGGGGAGGACCCTGGAAACACACACTCAGTGAAAGGAGCCAGACACAAAGGCCACATTTTGTACGATTTCCCTTAACTGAAGTACCCAGAACTTAACTGAAGTTCATATGGCAAATCCGTATGAACAGAATGCAGACTGGTGGTCTCCAAGGGCAAGCGACCGGGAAGTAGGGGGGCAGTGCCAGCTTCATTAACAGCATTTTATCTGGGAGTGACATACATGTTTTGGAACTAGAGAACAGTGGCAGTTGCACAATACTATGAATGCACTGAACGCCAATGAGTCATACACTTTAAAACGGTTAATTTTAGGTCATGTGGATTTCACCTCTGTTTAGGAAAAAAAGTCACAGGAGGATGGATAGGAAAACATGTCTGAAATGGTTCCTTACAGGATCATAATGAAAGAACTGGCTGGTAAATACTGCCTCTGTCCATCATTTCCCACCAAGACCTGTAAGAGCTTCCCGTGGGTCCCCCTGCTTCCTGCCACAGCTCCTCTCTCCAGCAGCTGTCCACAGAGCGGCCGGCCCTATCAATCCTCCAACTAGAACCACCCAGAGGCGCGGGGCACCTGGCCGGCTCAGGTAGAACTGAGCATGCCAACTCTTGATCGTGGGGTTGTGAGTTTGAGCCCCACGCTGGGTTTATTAGGTTACTTAAAACCTCTATTAAAAATAAATAAATAAAAACCACCCTAGAGGCATGCTATCCCCCTAAGGTAATATCCAACCACACATCTGACCTTTCCTCATTCTGGAACCTTCAGCCACACAGACCTTTGTACTGGTCCTCCAAATTCAAACCTGCTCTCAATTCAAACCTTTATATATACTCAGGATTCCCAAGGAAAGGCCCCGGCCATCACCCCGACCCTTGTTACACTGGCGGGTAACCCTCAAACACC